CGATGCCTCCAAAGAAGCCTGCTGCGCGCGATCGGGACCCCCCACTCTCAATGACGGCGCCCAGGAGCTTGGGAAGATTCCAGTAGGCTTCTCCAAAGCGTTCCTGCGTGGCCGCTGTGACGAGAATGCCAATCACGCCGATCATGATGGCGTACAGTGCCGCGCTGAAGAGCTGGCCATAGATGGCATCTCGAGGCCGTCGTGCAAACCGCGCGTAGTCGTTCTGATTCAGAATTCCGGCACAGATGCTGCCGATCGTGCTGATAATTCCATACGCGATCATCCATCCAGAGACATTTGATCCGGAAGACAGCGTGTCACCGAAGCCGTTGGGACCCATGGTAGCCAGTGACCAGATTAGCAGCACTAATTCGAAAACAATGACAATGACAGCCGAGATGTAGAACATTTTCTGCAATCTATGCGGTCGCACATAGATTACCGGCAGGGAAAGAACCATGAAGATGATGTATCCCACGAACTCGGCGGTCGTCATGCCGGTTTCGGCGGGCATGTGGTTCGGGATGCGCTTCTCCAGCGAGGGCCAAATGGCTTGCAGGCAAACATACACACACTCGCCTCCGATCCAGGCCTGAAAGGCATCTGTCGTGAGGATGGCGGTTAATATCTGCTGTGACGGGTGAACTAAATGACTTACACCAAACTGGACCTATCAGTGGGAGCGTTGCAAACTTTCACCGGTAAGGCTTACTTAGGGAGAGAAATATACGGTTCCAGATGACAAACTGGCTGCCATACATGCCCCAAACATATCGATTCACCACAGGAAATCCAACTGTACATGAGGTCGGTTAACACACGACGACACATGCATAGGGGGTCAACTCCGCCAACCGCTTACGATGATAATAGGCCCCAGGGAGCGAGTTGAGGACGATGAAAATGGTTGCCAGGATGTTTCCGACCACAATGGCGACGATAGCCTGCCACCAAGACAGTCCCAGGGCGATCAACGAGCTGCCGGTCATATAGCCAGAGATGTTGGAGCTGATGAGGACCCCTGCGCAGAATATCCCTGTTAGCTAGTCCTGCGCAAGATAGCATGGAGGAGTGTCCCCTGACAATAATTGTTGAAGGTCCAAAACCCCCAGCGGCGGCGATCCGCCTGAATGGGTTCGATATCACTATTGATCCATCGGTCGGGAATGGTCTCTCCATCTTGAGGGACCTCGAGCCACTGGAGGAGCGTCATGGCGAGCAGGCTGGGTTGAGCAACACGCGATGAACACATAAAGCCTCACTACATCCTGGAGTCAGACAGATATAACCCCCGGTTCGGGTGATAAGGATTTATCTCGGCCGGCGCCAGCCAAGGATGAGCGACATCAGAGGAAGCGGGGTTGTGCTCTAGCCTGATTGCGACTTGCACAGATTGAGGGTACATGTGCCACAGGTATAAATGACGGATCAAGTCCCGTCCAGGAACCTTATCTGATTCCCCTATCAACTATCAGCGGTTCGTCAAGATGGCATTCTATCGAATCGGTGTGGATGTGGGTGGCACCAATACCGATGCTGCTATCCTCAACACGGCAGCCGCAACCCTCGATGAACAAGACTTGCATCAAGATCGACAGAGGGGTGTGTGCGCTTCCAGCAAAACTCCCACCACTGCCGATGTGACTTCTGGTATCTGCACGGCCATCCTCGATGTCCTCGTCAAGGCGCAGATTCCCGCCCACGACGTGCGCAGTGTAGCCATCGGCACTACTCACTTTGTCAACGCCGTTGTGGAGGCCGACCCCCGTCGACTCAGTAGGATCGCTGTCGTTCGTCTGTGTGGTCCTTACACTAGAGCAGTATTCCTATCCTTTAAGAAGCCCTGGTCTCGTCATGAATAATCTGTCGCTGATGGTAACCCAGGTCCCGCCATTCTCCGACTTTCCACCACGCCTGCGCGAAATTATCGGAGGACCGGTCTTCTATCTAGACGGAGGTAATCAAACCATATCACAGTGCAACAAATGGATGATGTTAATTGGTAGCGTGAAGGACTCGAAATTGATGGTCGGGAAATCGCTCCCATCTGCCCTCAACAGATTGAGGATGCCGTATCTGCGATCGTGAAGGCCGGAATAACCACCGTCGCTCTCGTTGGGGTGTTCTCTCCCCTTGACCACGGGGGCGTGAACGAGGTAGCTTGTAAGAAATTGATGTTACAGCAAAGCCCCGACTTATCTGTGGTGTGTTCTGCCGATATTGGCAGTGTTGGGCTGCTGGAACGCGAGAATGCGACGATACTCAACGCCTCCATCCTGGCTCTGGCGAAGAAAACCATCCGAGCTTTCTGTCTCGCCATGAAGGACCTACAGCTCGAATGCCCGTTGTATCTTACTCAAAACGATGGGACTCTGACGAGCGCTGCAATGGCTGCAGAGCGACCTATCAAGACTTTTGCCAGTGGACCGACGAACAGTCTGACGGGGGCAGCTTATCTGGCCGGTCTGGACCAACGGAGCAACAGTAGCAGCATCACAACCAGGACTGATACTCAAATCCTGGTTATGGATGTGGGAGGAACGACCACCGACGTTTGCGCTCTCTTGCCATCTGGATTCCCCCGCAAGGCGCCCAACTTTGTTGAAGTCGGTGGAGTACGTACAGCTTTTCCTATCCCAGAGGTGCTATCAGTGGGACTGGGCGGTGGGAGTCGCATCCACGTTGACGGCGCCAAAGACACCGTGAGTGTTGGACCCGACTCGGTCGGGTATCGTTTAATGCAAGACGCCCTAGTCTTTGGTGGCAATACCATGACCTCAACGGATATCGTCGTCGCGTCTGGCAAAGCTGAGCTAGGAGAATTCTCACGAGTAAAGCACCTACCGTCCGCTGTTCTCACCAAAGCTCGTGCGGGCATAAAGCAAATCCTCGAGCGCGCTATTGATGAGATGAAAGTGTCTGACCAGCCCGTGACCCTCTTACTGGTCGGGGGTGGCTCCATCGTGTACATGGACGCACTTGACGGCGTCACCGAGTGTATTCTTCCTCCGCACCATGACTCTGCCAACGCAGTTGGGGCTGCCATTGCCAAAGTATCTGGTGAGGTGGATTCTATTGAAATCCTGGAGGGTCGCGATGAGGCAGCCGTAGTTGAAGCGGCGAAGCAGCAAGCGTTGCAGGCTGCCATCGCACGCGGAGCTGATAACGACGATGTCAGCGTCGTGGAGGTGGACAAACTTCCACTGCAATATGTCACGAACAAAGCGGTCCGGCTTGTTGTCAAGGCTGTTGGGAGGCTTGCAGCCGCCGGCGGCGGTAGTAGCTCTGCAGAGGACCATTTGGTATCTTGGATGTCAACTGATGTCGACGATTCCCCGAAGATAGAGACGGCGACGAACTGCATTCCTCCGTCCTTGACCAGCACGAAGCACGGTGCCCCCCTCGATCTTGACACATATGTTCCGGAGGTGACGGACCACGTCTGGTACCTTTCCGCCGTCGACTTGGAGTTCATCGCGACTGGAACCGGTGTGTTGGGTACTGGCGGTGGAGGCCCGTCTTATCTGCAGTATTTGCAATGTCTTGACTGGCTGCAAAGCCCCGACGCAAAGGGGCGTATGAGGGTGGTATCTCCAGATAGCATGAATAATTCGGGTGTCTGCGTGTTTGGATCGTGGTTCGGCGCCCCCAGTGTGTCGGGGGAACGAATCCCGGCCAAGATAGAACTCACAACTGCCATCGACCATGTCGTCCGTCTCTCTGGACATACACACTTTGAAGGCATCATTGCTGACGAGATTGGCGGAGGAAATGGCATGTCCACCTTTCCCACCAGCGCCTACTACGATATTCCGGTTCTCGATGGTGATCTTATGGGCCGCGCCTATCCCACCATGGAGCATGGTAAGAAGCCTTTACCCCTATGACCTGCTAGAACTAATGCCATGTTCGTGCTCTAGGAACACCATATGTTTATGGACACCCCATCACACCGTGTGTGGTTGCGGACGCAAAAGGTAATGTTGGAGTGGTCTTGGTATGACTCTCCCCTGTAAAGAGCTCACATTTCTCCGCTGATTATCTGTAGAAAGCCGAATCCAACCGTCGAGTTGAGGAGCTGCTTAGATGTCAGTGTGTGAATCTCGGTATCTCGACTGCTGTCGCTGCTGTACCCTTGACCTTTGATATTGTCAAGAAATACTGCATCCCGAACACAGTGTCCCAAGCCTGGTATCTGGGTCGCGCTATCCATCGCGCGCGCCGGTCCAAGACAGACATTATCGAAGCCATTGTACGTACTGGCCTAGTGATATACTAACCTAGTGATATAATGCTTAAATTCATGCGACCATAGTTTGAAACTACACCCGGTAAACTGCTGTACAGTGGTAAGATTATCGACGTGAAGCGAGATGTCAGTCGCGGGTACACGGTCGGCCAGTGCACGATCGCCCCGTTATCCAGCGAGGAGAGAGAGAATATGGACAACCAGGTCTCGTCAGAGACACGTCACTTGGTAATTCCATTTCAAAACGAGTTTCTGTATGCTGCGTATATCGACCCCGCAAACCCCACAGCCCAGCAGGTTATCTGCACAGTACCCGACCTCATCTCGGTTCTAGGCCAAGATGGCGAGGCAATCGGGTCGCAGGAGCTGCGGTATGGCCTGCGCGTGAATGTCATCGGAATGGCGGCGCATCCTCTATGGACCGGAGATGAGCGAGGACTGCGTGTCGGAGGACCCCAGGGCTTTGGATTGGATATGGAGTGGACGAGTCTCGGTCCGTATCAGACACCGCGCAGTGTCATTGCGGAGTTTAACCAGCAGTGATGGAGTTAGTTGAGATGACTGAAGAAACAACAGAGGACCGTGTAAAACATTTGCTTCTCAAGCCCAATGTTAAGCCCATGCTATCCTCTTCAAGTTCAGGCAATGCTAGGGTGAATGTCTCATACTTTGGGCTTAAGCTGCCTTTACTTAAAAAGGATGTCATTAAATCTATGAAACATGGAGTACGCGTTTCAGCAGCCCAATCCATTGCTACTCCCGCAACTCCAATAAATCTAATGTTACATCCCAAAGCCTTGCTTCGCTCTCCGGACTATACGCCCATTGGGCATATCCGGGTCCCCAAGGACCAGCGGCAGGAACCCATGCATTGGCCACAGCACAATTCTCCAAATACAGTCCACCCTTTCCTTCCATCTCCGGGCTCACTGCCGCCCAGACTGTAGTGGCAGCTCCTTGCTCAGGAGTCTTCCAATATTTTTCTAACTCTTTATCAGCAGTCCAAATGGTCATTTGGTCGGCCGGCACATGACGCAGCAAGTCCGTGGCAATGGTCCCAGGATGCAAACTGACCGCGTGCAGACCGTGAGTATCATACCGCCGCTCAATCTCATTAGCGGTCCAGATGTTGGCTGTTTTGCTTTGTGCATAGGCCATCCAGGTGTTGAAGTCACCCTTCCAAGTCAGATTGTCAAAGTTGACTTGGCCAAAGCGATGCGAGCCTGAGGAGAGAAGAACCACTCGTGAGTGAAATCCCGGTGAGGAAGATGCCAGCATCACAGGACGTAGGAGGTGGAAGAGGAGGAAATGCGCCAGGTGGTTGGTCCCAAATTGCGTCTCGAAACCATCTTCCGTCCTTCCTTCCGGGCAGCCCATGACTCCAGCGTTCGCGATGAGAACGTTAAGCCGGGGAGATCTTGATATAAATTCCTCCGTGCAGGCACGCACTGAAGCCAGAGAATTGAGATCCAGAGACAAGAGGTGCACGCGTGGGCTGTCAAGCATATCACCAAGCGCTGTTTTCGCCCTGTCGAGGTCCCGGGCCGTCAGGTAAAGTGTAGCACCGGTAGCGTATAGTGCTCGCGCAGTATGCACACCCAGACCTGACGAACAGCCGGTGATAAGGATGACCTTGTCAGACCATTGACCCTCGAGATGTTCATCCTGGATGACCTGAAGGGCAGTTGGGCGCGCGTCGCCTGCGCCCTTCGGCGATTGGTGCACTGCTGCGTATCGGCTACTCATCACTTCTGCTTTTATATGCTAAATGCTGTAGATCTGGTACTGGAATGGAGGGTTTTAGCGACTCTCAAAATTTGTTTTCAGGGCCTACTCTTCTTATATGGCGTAGTCGCCAAATTGAATCTGTGGCAATTCACGCCAAGAGGGCCTTTGATCCATCGCGCAGAGAGTGGGGACTCCAGCTTGCTAGTAATTGCTGAAAATATCATTTAATGTAGGGGCCTCGAGCTGTATGTCCGAGTATCTATGAAGTCGGTGATTGTCGACCAGGTGTCTCATGCTCTTATTCTTGTTGCTGGCTTTGAAAATAACCGGTATCGGTATCGGTCACGGTCACACACGCTAACCAAAATCATGCCTAGCGTTAACGCCCTGGGATGATTCCGCGAGCGGCTTCCCTCGAAAGAGGAAACCGACAAGGCGTCTGATCCCGCGCGGTAATCGACGGGCAGAACCGGGTACAAGATATGCACGCTAAAGCGAGAACTATAAGAAAACCAGCTTTCAATCATGACGCCCATAGGTGTGATGTAGACATCCACGGATAATCGCTGCTATGCTGGTAAAGATCGCTTCTTGCTCGGGGTTTGCGGACCTGTGCAACATAGCAAACCTTATGTTCCGGAGTTAATTATCCCCTGCTCACTAACTCCGAGCAGTGGCTACAGGCACGGGAGGTATTGTACACAGGGAAAACGGAGACAAGCATGGAGATAGGCGAAAGCCATTGGAATAGGGGATTCGGAGGGCCCAAAGGAGGGATACTAAGACGTATATAAAATGTTGGGCTCTCACCAGTGCGACTTTTTTTGCACTGAGCGAATTCTGCTGTATATACAATACGTACCATGGCATCCTACCTAGTTACCGGCAGTACTCGTGGGATCGGCTTTGAATTGGTGCGCCAATTATCAGAAAAGCCTCTCTCAGAGGTCAGAACCATCATTGCCACCTCACGATCGGTCAATGCCTCCCTGCAGGACCTAGCGGACCGGCATCCCAGCCGAGTCGTGCTATTCCTCTTAGATGTTGCGGTCCCCGAGACCATACAAAAAGCTGCTCAGACCATCGAGAGCATATTAGGGGACAAGGGCCTGGATGTACTCATTAACAATGCTGGCATCGTGGGCTGGGGCCAGCTCAAGAACATGTTGGTTTTAACCTATGGACCGCATCAATCTTTGATGGAAACTAACGCCCTGCAGGACGGACTTGGAAGACACGTTCCGTGTCAATGTGACGGGGCCTCATATCGTAACCCAGAACTTCTTGCCGCTATTGCGGAAGGGCTCTATGAAGAAGATCATCAACATGTAAGACCGTCTTGACCCAGGAACCAGATGTGTTCAATCCTGACTCGCATCCTCCAGTTCCAGCAGCGTCGGCTCCATTGCAAAGCAGTCCGTCTTCCGGGAACTGCCCGCCCCCTCCTACAAGATTACCAAGGCTGCCTTGAACATGATGACGGTGCTTTATTCCCAAGAGCTTGAAAAGGAAGGGTTCACCGTATTCTGTGTGAGTCCTGGGGTGAGTGCCAATCCCGACGTCAAGTCACGACCATACATCTGATTCCAACGTTAGTGGTTGAAAACAAGCGAAGCAAATTCACACGCTGATCTTCCGGTCGGAACTGGAGTCGAGCGCGTTTTGCAGATGATCCGTGATCGGGGTGTGGAAGTCAATGGAAGATTCTTGAATATTCATGTTGCTGGGTGGGAGAACAACCCTGGTTTAAACCAGTATGATGGAAAGGAGCTGCCATGGTAGACTGTCTAAATGGCTGATCGACGGTGGGAGGTATGATGTCTCATTCCTTATTTATACTTACCTATCCACAAGTGGCTAGAACATACAGTAACAGGAACTAAGAGCTGAGCTCTGTGGAAGATATCATGACGCGATACGTAATACTTCGATTTAGATACGCAACTCTGTCCCGATCTGCAAATTGAACAATAGATCCCCTAAGCTGTGGAATGGATCTCTACTATACCGTGGAGATTTTCATCTTATGGGATGGGCTGTTTTTCTAGAGAAAAGGCAATGATAGCAAGGCATTCAAGTAGGGTGTCGGTGAAATTGATTGATTGTTAATCTCTATTATAGTCTGGTCTAGCCCGATTGGTGTTGTTTGATGGCTATGCGGGCTTTCAACAACTATCAGGATACAGGCAGTACCTATTTGTGTCACCACTAGGTGAGAGTCTGTGCCAATCACTTCATTAAAACGTTGGTCAGGTGAAGGAGACTTACACGGTACGATGCCGAGGTCCTGTCAGTAGGGTACATGTGATGAGAAGAGACGAACACATTAGCGATGCAACATATCGAGCGGGGAAAAAAGCAAAGAGAATCAAAGCAGATTAGGGTCGTGGGGGGAGAGCGCCACGTTGAGTTCCCAAAAAGGTAATCCGCGAGGCTGATCCATCAGCTCGTATCTGTCAGCACAATAACAATCAATGAAACTCCATTCATGAATACAGTTCACCCATTTCTTGCGTCGGAGGTGGTCATGTTTGTCTATCATTATCTCGAAGATTAGGCGTGCTTCACATATCAATCTGACTGTCTCTGGTCGGTCTGACTGGCTAACGGTAATGAGTTGAAGACTCAATCGGTCGCGAGGCCAGCTGAGCCCATCGCGGCGATCCCCGATCAGCCCTTCGTGGGGCATTGAGCGAGACATGCGTGTGAAGTGGCATCGGAGATTTGTGTCATGCAATTACAAGCTGCTCGAGGGTCATGTTGGTAAAGCTTCCGCCGCAACCCAACTCTTGTCCTACGAGATACTGTATGGATGTGGCCCATCTACTGCTCTGAGTCTAATGTCCAAGCCCGCCTGCTGTTAAGTATCCTATTGGACTTCTACATTCACGGATAGCATGTGAACACTGCAGTTTTTCCTCATGCCACCCTTGCTAGCTTGGGTGAACTAGTTCCTGCAGCAACTTCGTCACTCCCCTCTCAGCCAAGCCCTAGGCAAAAAGCTTCCCCGGAATAAACTTCTCTCTCCTTTGGTCTCCTGCGGCAGTTCTATCCCAATCGACGACCATCAAACTCGTTCAGTCGGTGGGAACTCATTCCAGGCACCAGCAACCAGCAACCAGCACATCCGAGTGATCCGCAACTTCTGGGCCAGCTCTTGTTCTGCCGGCTCCACCAGTGCCGTCATCGCACGCGAGGCCCGCCCCGGATGCTTTGCTGAAGCCGGCATAGTCTATCCCCGCTCGGGCGTGATGCCCAACGGTCACTGGAGGAGAGGTGCAAGCGGGATGTTGTTGCATGAATCAAGCCCGGGGTTTGGCTCTCATCCGCTCGTTTCCTACTGGCGGGTTCGCCCTCTCCATCGAAGCCACGGATCCTTCGATCCGGATCCTGGCAAAACACTGAGGAAGCAGAGCTTGGTTATAGCAGAAATTATTAATACGAAGCTGATCTGCCCGTTTTTTTCCAAACCTTCCCTCTCCATTCCTCTCTCCTCGCACCCCGTTCATCTTCCTCCCGCCATGTACATCCCCTCGGTGCTGCTTCTGGCCGCGAGCCTGTTCCATGGCGCAACGGCGCTGCCCACGCCCGGCTCCTCGCCCTTCCCGCCCAGCCAGGACCCCTGGTACAGCGCGCCCGAGGGCTTCGAGGAGGCAGATCCCGGTGCCATCCTGCGCGTGCGGCCCGCGCCCGGCAACTTGACCGTGGTAGTGGGCAATGCCTCGGCGGCCTACAACATCCTCTACCGCACTACAGACAGTCAATACAAGCCTTCGTGGGCTGTGACTACCCTGCTAGTGCCCACCGAGGCCGCCTCCGCCGCCATCAACCAGAGCGTCTTGCTCTCCTACCAGATCGCGTACGATTCGTTCGACGTCAACGCCAGTCCCAGCTACGCCATGTACACTAGCCCGCCCTCCGATATTATCCTCGCCCTGCAGCAGGGCTGGTTCGTCAACGTCCCCGATTACGAAGGCCCCAACGCCTCTTTCACTGCCGGTGTGCAGTCCGGCCATGCCACCCTTGACTCGGTCCGCAGCGTGCTCGCCTCCGGATTCGGCCTGAACCAGGATGCCAAGTACGCTCTTTGGGGATACTCTGGCGGTGCCTTGGCCAGCGAATGGGCTGCTGAGCTGCAGATGCAATACGCTCCGGAGTTGAACATTGCCGGTCTGGCCGTGGGTGGACTCACTCCCAACGTTACCAGTGTCATGAACACGGTGACCTCGACCATCAGCGCAGGACTCATCCCCGCCGCCGCGCTGGGTCTGTCGAGCCAGCACCCTGAAACGTACGAGTTCATCCTCAGCCAGCTGAAGACGACAGGACCCTACAACCGCACGGGATTCCTGGCCGCCAAGGACCTGACCCTGTCCGAAGCGGAGGTCTTCTATGCCTTCCAGAACATCTTCGATTATTTCGTCAACGGATCGGCCACGTTCCAGGCGCAAGTGGTGCAGAAGGCACTTAACCAGGACGGATACATGGGCTATCATGGGTTCCCGCAGATGCCGGTGCTCGCGTACAAGGCCATTCACGACGAGATCAGTCCCATCCAGGACACGGATCGCGTGATCAAGCGGTACTGTGGACTGGGATTGAACGTCTTGTATGAGCGGAACACCATCGGTGGACACTCCGCAGAGCAGGTGAATGGCAACGCCCGGGCGTGGAACTGGTTGACGAGCATTTTCGAGGGAACGTATGCGCAGCAGTACAAGACCGAGGGGTGCACGATCCGCAATGTCACTTTGAACACGACTTCCTCTGTTTACTAGAGGGGGACTGATGTTATGTGAATGATGTTATTAATGGCTGTGTATGGACAGCCGGCTCTATTGTACAGTAATGGGCTAATGAATGTGGCTTCATGAACATGGTACGAATGATTATGTTATGTACATAGTGTGGATGTGGTAATGATGAAGAAGTATTTGTCTATGATTTATGTTCCTGCTATGCAATAAAATACACCATTCAAGGATTAACTACTGACACATTTGCTTAGAAGAGACCAGAGTCGGCCTTGATCAGATCGGAGGCCCGCTCAGCCACCGCGTACAAGGTACTGACCAGGTGGCCGCACACCTGGAAGGGAAGGACGGATGCATCCACCACGCGAACATTGCTGGTGCCGTACACCGTTAAGCGCTCGCTGACCACGCCGCCCTTGTCCTTGGGCATCATGGCAGCAGTGCCGACCGGATGGAAGTTCGAGCGGTCTGTGAATGGCAATTAGCATGCATACATCAGTATACTCTGGAAGACTGATGGATTAAACTTACATTGTGTGAGCAGCCACGCCTTCCAGTCCTCCTCGGAGCCGTTGGCAGCCACGGCCTCAAAGCCAGGGTTGGTCTCCTCGGTAACAAGGTTGGCCAAGGGAGCAGCCTGGAAGGTCTTGCGGACGTACTTGGCCACCGCAATCTGACTGGTAAGATCCCAATCGAACTTGTAGTAGTTGGGGTTGATGATCGGCTTGGCAGTAGGATCGGCGGATCCAATGTGGACATATCCACGGGCAAAGGGCATCAGGGCCCAATACTGGGCGCTAATACTGCTGGTGCTACCGGGGTAGTACAAGATCTCGGCGATCGTGATCTTATCATTGAAAATCAGGTCATACTGCAGCTGGAAGAGAGCTTCCAGATCCTCAGCCTTCATAGTGCCACTGCTCACCTGGGCGGTTTCGTTGGCCCATTGCTTGAGCTGGCGGCGGACGGATTGTGCGACCGACAGGGTGTCGTTGCCAAGGACATCAAAGATGTTGGGATAAACCACGGTCTTGGTGCCCGTCAGACCAGGAGTGGTGGAAGCACCTAGCCCCGCGTTGGTCTGGTCCTGAAGGTTCTCACCGACGGTGGGAAGATCGACACGGACAGAGATGTTGTATCTCTCCAGGATATCCCGGTTACCGATACCGGAGAGTTCCAGGATACCGGGCGACTTCAATGAACCGGCAGAAATGATGACCTCCTGGCTTGCTCCGATGACACTGATGGTGCCATTGGAAGAGGTAATCTCGACACCAGCAGCAGTGGCATTACCCTGGGAACCTCCATTCTTCCAGACCAGACGGTTGACGAAAGTATCGAGCATCAGGTGCAAGTTAGGACGGGACGCAATGGGCCAATAGTATGCACGGGCGGCGTCTTCACGCACATATGCGGTGTAATCGATGGTGGAAGGGTAGACGTTGAAGCCACGCATCTTGCCGCCGTTGACATCCTCAGTCCATGGAACGCCGAGTCCCTGGAAGGTGGCATTCAGGGTGTTCGTGAGGTTATTGGCGGGAATGTCGGGCCAGGCTACGGACAGCGGACCCTCCTCGCCGTTGGCATTGGGGTCGTAGGTGGCTCCTCTGGCACGCTGGCTGGCGGTGGGAACAGTCAAGTTCTCACTCTTCCGATAGTAGGGGAACAGGCTGTCCCAGCTCCATCCCTCGTTACCGATGGTCTGCCATGCGTCAACCTGGACGTCTTCGGCCCGAGTGTACGCCATTCCTGTGAATACGTTAGTGCTTAGTTCCATTCAAGCACACGTATGACATACCGTTGATGGCACTCGTGCCCGAAAGCGCCTTTCCAGCACGCAGCACCTGGGGGGCGTTGCCAGCATAGGACTGGTTGGTTGTCTCATACTGCCAGTCGATGTCAGTACCGAAGGCCAGTCCGTAGCCGTCGACATCCGTGACGTTGGAGTTGTTGAGAACTGAACCACCGGCTTCGATGATGAGGACCGACACATTGGGGTTCTCTGACAGGCGGTTGGCAACCACGAGACCGCTGGTACCTCCACCAACGACGATGTAATCATACTGGGAACCAGAGAGACGGGTAGAAGGCGCTGCAAGGGCCGTCGACAGCGCACCCAAAAGGGTCAAGCTTCGAAGCATCTTGGTGGCCATGATCGCTCCGGAATGTTTGAACGGTGGTGATAGCTTCAAGATCTTGCTCACTGGGCTTTTATACCTCTCATGACGCTGCAACCTTCCTGCAATGGCCCGTATCGAGTTGCTTCATAATCCTCCGTCAGCAGGATGATATCCACTTCCCGAGGGGGCCGGTGACCTCGTTGGATCGTCTGTATATTGCTCATGATCCTGGGCCCATATAAACTTACCGTGCCGTGATCGGACAGGATCCACCGCCAGATATCGGCATGCCGGGTCAGGCATCGGCCTGAGACATCGCCAGACACTAGGCGCCTCCTAGCCGCAAATCTTGGCTGGCCAGAAACTCCCTGACTGATATCTGCAAGGACGCCACGCAGGGAGACGCATGACACTCGAAGCGTTGCTGAGCCGTGTTCGCGGGACTGACACTTTTAATGATATTCATACGACACCGTTGCATTATTCGCATCGGTTCCCGGAATGGCCATGAGGACCCTGAACGGGTCAGGTTTCATTGTTGGGCTCGGACTGAACGGGTCTTCCCGCTTCAATTCCCGGCCGTCAAAATTTGCGCAACGGCGATTTCCCTTCCATCACATCATTGATAGTGAAGGTTTCGTGAGGAATCCATAGTGCCTGACTAAATGTTTGTCATCTGGTTATCGGATCCACATTCCCTGTCGATCGGATTCATTTCGGCGTAATCAGATCCCAAGCAGCACACCAAGTGGGGTGGGTGAGTAATTTCTCAGCCTGTCTTTAACTTCGGCCCTGACTATCGCATTGCTTGGCGAGAATATGGCCGCCACAGTGCAAGAAGTGAGGTGAATGGCCTAATCTCGGTGAGAGAAAACAGCTATTATGGCCTTAATAGAGGCTTTTGGGCGGGTGTAATTCCGCGTCTAGCTTACATCGACAAAGGTTCTAGAAGTCCCAGCAGTTTTGCTTTGTGTGGCCCCTTGGGTGACCGTCTGCTTTTAATCGCCACGGGTGCCGGCCAGGGAGTATTTCAGAAGAGTGAAAGCCGATGCTGGCCATCTATATCCCTCTTGTAGGCTGTGGTCTATCCACGGAATAGAAGAAGCAGGCCAGGGCCTGTCTGTTGGATCCTGCTGGTAGCATCCCTTGATGGCATCAGAATGCCTCCGTCCACCGCAGATGACATGAGAAGATAAATGGCCCTTACAGCGCCCCTCCTCACCGAGATGGTTAGATAGGCTGCCAGTATCCGCGTAACCAGCAGCCAGGTAGGCATGTAGCACGGCATGATGTCCGGTGTGAGATCTCCCACTATGCAAGGAGCTGTGTCACGCCGATAGCATCCGTGCCTGAGATCGATATTCTCTTTTCCTCTCTGCCTCTTACTTAACGCCAAGGCTTCACTGTTGTGGCGCACAACGGATGTTCACCTAGCTTGCCTGTCGGCCGTCTCCATTTGCCCGATAAGAATATGTGGAGCTTCCCCTGAGACGGTTCCAACTAGCTTCACACTAATTCTGGATATAGTATAGGTGCTCATGCAGCTATCCTTGTCCGCCATAACAATGGCTTGTAACTCGCCATTTGCTGCTCATATGACCGTCAAGGGTACAGTAAAGGATTCAGTCATGTGCCGCCCTGAGGAGCTCTTCGACACTTCGCTGCTCGCGCCGTTCGGACCGCTGCCTTGCTATATCTGTCGTGTATCGCCACGTCAGTTCAAGGAGTAAGGAGTTCATGAAACTATGCGGCAGTGTTCTGCATCATGACCATCGAGGAATGTGCCCCGCTACCCACCTTTGACATTACACCCGCGGCGATTCTAGACCATGCCAATCAGGTTATCCGCCGGGTCCAGCTGGACGTCAATCATTTAATCGGCACAGTTGTAATTGGGGATGTCACCGTTGATACTCTAGTGCGTTCACTAGGCAACATAGACAATGAATTCAAGTATCACATTCAGTACATTGCCCTCTTCCAATCAGTCGCGCCATCCCCGGATCTGCGCAAAGCATCGTCAGAGGCAGTGAACCTGGTTAATCAAGCTTACCTAGCGCTGTTCCAAGATGAGCGCCTATTTTATCTGGTCGACACCGTGTATAGCAAGGTCAATGATGACACCGAAGATGGCGAGTCCATACGTCTCCTGTCGAGATTCCATCGCATGTATGTCGATAATGGCCTCCGTCTGGCTGGGGCAGATCGCGATCGGTTTCAGCACATCGTGAAGCGGTTGCTTGAATTGCGTGTCCAGTTCATGGACAACATTGCCACCGACCCGGGGAGTCTGTGGATAGCCACAGATGAGTTGAAGGGCCTCGATGAGGGCATGCTGAAGAACCTCGAACGGGGTCCTTCGGGGACTAGTCGTATTCGTTTGGATCGGCCGACAGTCAGCACGATTCTGGGAAAATGCAGCGTGGCTCAAATCCGGCGAGATGTTTTCCTCGGTAGTCAGTCAACCTACTCTCAAAATGTCAAAATATTCCAGGATACTATCACTTTGCGACATGAAGCTGCCCGACTACTGGGGTTCCCGTCGTTCGCAGCACCACAACTACGGCATCAGCTGGTTAAATCCCCCAGCGCTGTCACAGACCTCCTGGAGGACCTCGAGCATAGATTGCAGCCACTTGCGATCCGCGAGTTAGAAGCCTTACAGACATTCGCTGGTCTAGAATCACCGCTTCATCTGTGGGATTTCGACTACTATCACCGCCGCATGCTGCAGGAACAGTATTCTGTCAGCCATGATTTGATCTCCGAGTATTTCCCAGCTGAACATACGATTCAGCGGATGCTGGGCATCTTCGAAAGGCTATTCGGATTATCCATTACGGAAGTTACAGAGAAGACCGACCGGGATGTGTGGCACTCTGATGTCAGGATATTCACAGTACATGACAGACAGGAGTCTTCAGGCTCCTTCCTAGGCTACCTGTATACGGATATCTACCCTCGACCAGGGAAATACAACCATGCCGCCAACTTTAACATCCATCCCGTAGGTCTACTATGTTGCAAAAGACCCAAGATGTTACTGAAAAATGTTGCAGGGATTTCGAAGGAAAGATGGGAGTCAAACCCCTGTCGCCACGGCTCTTGTGTGCAATGTATCGCCAGCTACAGCCGACCGACCGGCGCTTCTGCAGCACAGGGAAGTCATCACGCTGTTCCATGAGCTAGGACACGGTCGGTCGCATTGATTGCCTTTACAGTTCTCTTCTTGCTAATACGGCCTATAGGAATGCATGATCTCCTAGGAAGAGCCAAGTACGCTCTATTTTCCGGCCATCGAACTGTGCGAGACTTCGTCGAGGCACCCAGTCAGCTGCTGGAATACTGGTGCTGGGTACCAGAGTGTTTGCAACAGCTCAGTTGCCATTACACGTACCTGCCGGAGTATTGTGAGCGAACTTTGGCTGAGGGGACCATGAAAAATGCCAGCCGACCACCGAGAGAGATACCCGAGGACCTAGTCAAGGGACTTGCTGCTGTCAAACAAGTCAATCAGGGTATCCTAACCCTGCGACAGGTTGCCTTTAGTGCATTCGATATGGAGATCCATGGCGAGCACGGCCAGGAAATCTCGGAAGGCAATGGCATTGCCGAGCGATACAATTCGTTACTACAAGAAATGACCCTCCTCCGGGGCCCTGAAGAAGTCAACTGGGGCCATGGATATGCCACGAGTCAACATTACATGTGGGGCCAAGAGGCCAACTACTTTTCATACCTCTAGTAAGTGTAGTGTCAATGGGTGTCTGTTTCTTGTTCTTACCTCGACTAGCACACGGACCTTGGCAGCGGACATTTGGACTTCCAACTTTCGTGACGATCCCATGAGTGCGGAAGCTGGACTCCGCTATCGACGGATGATTCTCGCCCACGGCGGTAGTAGAGACGAGTTGGAGATGCTCAGGGAGTTCCTGGGACGATCTCCGTCTCCGGAAGCATATCTCGGGAGTCTAGGGGTCGGGGAAGCATAGCTACTGAGTCATGGCAGGCGGTGCCTAGAGGCTTGACGAACCGTGGTTGCAATCTACGCCGTGAAGATCACACGAGCATCAGCGGAGCGCCCCCGAGTCATAATGATGCTCCTTCATTGGCCACCATCAATTTCGTGTTGGGAGCGAACGGTGTAAGACGGCGGCTCAGCCAGAAGTCTCCGCGGTCGCACGGAGACTTACGGAGGGCGGCGCTGCTTAAAGATTGTACATAAAAGACCGAAGGGGGATGATGGTGCTTTGAATGATTATCACACATCACAATGTCAAGCAATCAGTACTAAATCGTCTCTTAATTTAATGTCCATAAATCAAACATGCAACAACAACAACAGCCAACAGTAGCCTTCTTCGGGGCGACGGGGGGATGTGCCAATGCGTGTCTGGCTCTTGCCCTACAAGCCGGCGTTCATTGTTCCGCCCGTATGTGTTGTTTTTCCGTTTCCGATACAAACATCTCAAACTGACCCTCATCAATACTGAATCACAGTGGCTCGCACTCCCTCCAAGCTCCACAATCTGCTCCAGCAGCTCAATGTCTCCGAGTCCGCCATTGCAGACTACCTAACGGTCACGGAAGGTGATATCTACGATCACCAAGCTGTTCAAAAGACCCTCTATGTCGATGGCCGCCCCGTTGATCTGATCGTCTCCGGCCTCGGCGGCAAGCCACGCTTCGAGTATGGCATCAAAGCCACCCTAGACAACCCAACCATTTGCCAAGATGGCATCCAGACTATCATTTCTGCCGCTCGATCGTGTCCCCAGAAGCCCCGCATCGTGATCATCAGCACCACCGGCCTCAGCAACACGCGCGACGTGCCACTCATGATGCTGCCCCTGTACCATTGGCTGCTCAAGGTACCACACGCGGATAAGAAGGTGATGGAGGACCTTGTTGTGGCCGAGATGCAGAAGCCGGAGGAGGAACGCGCCATCGCCGGGTATCTCTTCGTACGGCCCTCCTTGTTAGTGAACGGCGATGGCGATGGTCTGTCGAAGATCAGGACCGGCACCGACGAGAACCCCGCGGTGGGCTATTGTATCAGTCGTCGGGACGTGGGTCTCTGGATCTTCGAGAGGGTAATTCATCAGGCATTGCTTGCGGACTGTCAGTATTGGGGGCAGAAGGTGTCCCTGACGGCCTAGGCAGCTGCGTGGAATAATTCGATATAGGTTGATCACTTGGTGCTACTGGGTAATATACTGGGTTCAACGGAGTACTGCGGATAATTGTCTGCACTACTTAATGTATTGTCTGGACCACTTAATGTTTACACTATTATTATCAACTTTGTTTGACTTTCGAGACTATGTGGCATGTCGAATATCTACATCGTAACATAGACACGGTCGGAAACATACAGTGTTTACTCGCATAACATGCGATCAGCCGTTTCAATTCAAAGCCTATAATCGTTGACCTTATTCTATTCAGGAGACTGGGGTCTATTTAGCCTGCTTGCAGCTATCCAGTTAGTGCTGGATTTCACTGCCAGCCCGACTATTCAGACACGGTAATATCACGTGACCATTGCAGACTAGTCCTCTCGGGCCATGACATCGTTGCGTCCTGTTCTACTTAGTCATAAACTACCCGAATAGGAAACACATCAACATCTCTCCCATGAAGTAAAAGAGTCATTGGACTGGAGATGGGCTATACACTGGGGAACCTAAATAATCGCATACTGTATCTATTACCTGCATACCGGTTGCATGATCATTCCTACTGATGTTTTCCGTTGATTGAATACTAGTACTATGCCACTACCGTTTGTGAGCACTAACTAGTAGTCTCGGGATATATATCTATATAAACTCCTTGTCGAGGTACCTAACGACTTTGATCGGACATAACAAAATTTATATAAACAGCCCTTTATCTTACGATAAGGATATGCCATGCCACTTTTACAATAGATCACAAACATATTTACGAACTGATAATATCCTGTAGTAGCCTGTGCTTGGTATTGATTCATTAAGGTCACTACCTTTTAAGACTAGTTGATGGGATACTTTCAGAACGTGCTGGCTCCAACACATCTTCCCTTTGGAACCAACATACATTGGGTGGGACCACATTTCTGCACCCCAACAGACGAGTTCAGTCACTCAATCACGGGTTCACGGCACCAAAGTCCGCTCGTCATACCTATTCTGAGTGGGCTAAATCTTGCTTCTTCGAGTCCACGCTGATGAGGAGCGCCATAATTACCATCAAGTATGGGACATTACTCTGGATGCCCAGGTCTACCCCTTCCAATAAAACATCTCATCATCAAGGAATGATTGCTCTTATAAGCTCTCATGGCGAAGGCTAGACGAAGAATATCGGAGTCAACTCCAGAACCTTGCCTGCTTTATGCTGGAGCCTGCCGTTCTGGAAGACGATTCTTAGAGAGCATGTAGGCTTCTTACCACTTAAAACGTGATCCAAACTGCTGCTACCTACTTGAGATCTCGGCAATTCTTCATTTCACTAATAGATCAGCACGCATACTTCAGTGCCGGGGAGGTATTGTGCCTGATGACAGGCACATGATCCTCAAGCACAATATCGTCGCAGAGGTCGATCATTGCTAATCTCAGCATCACTTGTAAAACATAACACAGGGAAAACCGAACTATGGAAGGGCTTGATGGTGGAAAGACCGGCGATTCCCGACTACCTACCGCTAAGGAGCACCAGCCGGGCTATATCGTATATGACGCCCAGGATCAGAGCCAACTCTATAGGTCTTAGTGTAAATTCTTCAAGGAAACGGGCCTTGGTACGAAGCAGAAAAGCTAAGCTTCGCGTTTTTCATGGCAATTATCTTCACGCGCGGATCCGCAGCGTGTTTACGATCGAGCACAGCCAACTCGTGGTATGGAATGCGAAGATACTTGAAAGCGACCAGGATCTTCCATCGTTTGTCCCACACTATCGAACTCAATGGCTTGATGTGTTGATCACAGCCCTGAACAGTAAATCTAGACACGGGGGTGCTGACAATGTCGTGAGGCACAGCAGAGCCTCGGAGGTCACCAGGCTTTGCAAGAGCCATGATCAATAGTCTGGCGTCACCAAAATTGCCAAAGCAAGGGATGGGAACATAGGACTAATTACTGGCGAGGAATGCTAGCCATAAGGTGCCCCGTTCCATGATCTGTTTGTATGTGTTTGAAATGGTCAGAAGTCGAGATATAAACAAGGCTTCCTGTGCTGTCTCCCTAGATTTTATTGATATTATTGAGTCTCACTCTATTTGTATACACAACCAATTATCTTTTACGTTAGTCACGAACCTCATAATGAAGACTTACGGTATCTGGAGCACGCTAGCCACCCTTGGCTCATTCACTCTCTCATCGGCCAAGACCCTCAACTTCGTCGCACACGAGGATGATGACCTCCTCTTCCTGAGTCCGGACCTGATCCGAGACATTCTTTCCGGCGAGCCCATTCGTACCGTGTTCCTGACTGCAGGAGACGCTGGAATGGGATCTGACTACTGGAACAGCCGTGAGGATGGCTCGCGGGCAGCTTATGCGCGCATGGCAGTGGCGAGCAACAACTGGGATGAAGACGTGATCTACGTCGGAGACAAGACCATCAGCCTCTACACGCTGCAAGACGACGATGACATTTCCCTGGCATTCATGCACTTGCCGGATGGCAACATGGACGGAACTGGCTTCGGCGGCACCGACCAGAACGACAGCTTGCAGAAGCTGTGGGACGGCGACATTGATGTGATCCGGACTATTGATGGCTCGGGTGTTCAGTACACGAGAGACGAGCTGCTTGATACCATTGCCGCTCTGATTGACGACTTTGACCCCGACGAGGTCAAGACGGGTGACTATGTCAACGACTTTGGCGATGGCGACCACAGCGATCATTACGCCACCGGTTACTTCGTCGACAATGCATTGCAGCAGGCCGACAGCGATGCTGATCTGACCGGATACTACGGGTATCCGATCCAGGACATGGATGTCAACTTGGACGATTCGGACATTGAAGACAAGACGAACATCTTTTACGAATATGCTGGTTATGATACTGCCACCTGCGCCACTGATGATGCTTGCTCGAGTCGGCCTGAGTCTGCTTGGTTGCAGCGTGAATACGAGCTTTAAGGAAGCTTCTCTTGAGCTGGTCTTCGGGACGATTTGGCCATTTACTAGGCTGTGAGACACTGTGTTTTATTCTCTGCCATCTTGTACCTTAGTTACGACACTTTGAAATGCCATATGATAAGTTGATTGGTGTATTTAGAAGAGCATTGTACGCGCCGCGCGCAGCAATTGTAGGCCATGCGTCATGTTCCTGACTATTGTGTGCTGTACCTAGAAATTAGCCCACTGTTACACATGAGAGCGCGGAATGCATCGGATGATCGTGTGGAAATCGCGATGTTTGTTTACTTCCTATTGAGAATAAAGCATTTTGACAGTCGACGTTGCTCTGCAACTAGAGTATACATTCCAAGTACCAGCAGAGGAATGTTCCCATTGTAGGCAGTATCACGAGGGAAGCTTCTGTTCTGGTTCCTGAAGGAGGTTGAAGCTCATTCCGCAGACGAAACCTAAAGCTCCATGGTATGTATGCTTACCAATGAGAGCTAAATCAGTGTTGTCGATTCAACACCGTGCTCATACTAAGAATGTTATTGTACGAACTGCTCATTTCCCACTTTCCAGCATTTCTCTGGGTAATAATTGCTCGATCTCTACCGTGTGATAATACCAATTTATTGATGAGAACATAGTCGAAGTATTCAACCTGATGCGGTGGTGATTGGTGGTATTGATGGACACGTCGACATGCATAAATCCCGGAATATTTCCAGGGTTATCGGAAATTCCGGATTTACAAATGTATGGAATAGCCGGTACTCCGCAGCAAATTTCACTAATAATTTTACCTGTTATCTACTACTGAATCCCTTTTCAAGAAGATACCCACATTACGCAGTGACCTTCTTCCAACTCTCCCTAGCCTTCAACCCCTCCCACCACTTCTGCACATGAGGAAACTTGCTCACCAGCTCCGTGAATCCGAATGGCTCAATAAAGACCCCATACGGCAAGTGAGCCAAGTCCGCGAGTGTGAGTTGCTGCCCGGCCAGATAAGGCTGCTTGGACAGGACCCGCTCGTAACCTTCGAGAGTGAGTTCGAGCTGGGAAAAGAGAAATTGGACACGGGCTTCGTCGGTCTCTCCGTGACCTTTGCGGGCTTTGAAGACCTTTTCGTAGGCGATCTGAGAAGCGAGGGGGTCGAAGTAGGATTGTTCGATGGAGAGGGCCTATCCCATTAGCTTTAACGGTCTCACAGAATTCTTGTAGGATTTGAGGAATAGGGATATGTACCTGCTGGTAATAGGCAAAGGCCTTTAGATCCGATTCAGGAGGGGCCAAGTCAGTGCCCTGGCCGCGGTACTTGGTAGCGATGTATTGAGTGATGGCTCGACTCTCTGTTCACGGAAGTAGTGTTATTAGGGAATATCTGGAGAATACTTTCTGCAACACCAACCATAGATTTGGATGCCTGTTTCTGTATCCTGCAGCACAGGTACCTTGCCAAACGGCTGGAGATCGTTCAGGTAAGAAGAGGTCTTCTGCTCTCCCTTGGCCAGATTAATCGGGACTATTTCAACGTCCAGCCCTTTCTCGGCCAGGGCAGTGCGCACGCGACGGGTGCAGGTGGAGTGGACAAAGCCGTACAGCTTGAGAGTCATAATGGATGGATGAAGTGAGATGTACTTAGTGAGATTCAAGTCAAATGAAATGAAGATAAACTGATGGTGGTGAATGCGACCGAGGGGAAGGAGGGGAAGGTCGGGGATAGTTGCATCGGGATGCAAGTCTGGCACGTCATCTCGGGTTCCCCCACTGCCGCGGAATCATTCCGGCATATGGTATAAACAAAAATCTCTTCATGTTTGCTTACGAGATATCAACTGATTATTACACATTTTCAGTTCAAACAACTACCGAGTGATGGACTAAGAGGAGGACCGACGGGGTCGGAAGGTGGCCCACAAGGCCGGTAAAGACATGGCGAAGTTATCCAGTTCCTTGCCATCAAAGGCCCGCTGCTCCTCATCGGCCAGCTGGATGTGATATTCTCCCACAAGCATCGCCAAAGCCATGCGCATCTCCATCCAGGCAATACTCTTGCCTACGCAGTCATACGAGCCTATGCAGAGACACATCTTAGTCAACGAATTCACTGAAGATATGAGTTGACAGACTCACCTCGTGAAAAGGGAATGAACGGCACGTCGGCCACATTGTTAATCGACGCCCATCGTTCAGGACGAAACTGGTCAGCATTTTCCCAATAGCGCTCATCCCGTTGGATGGTAAAGGTCGGCACTGACACTATCACATCCCCGGGTAGGTGAAGATCCTTGTCCACCTGCAGTCCCTGCGGCGGAGTGACACGGACCAGACCATCCAGCACCGATGGCTTCAGCCGCAGGGTCTCGTTGATTACCGCTGTCAGATACGGGAGATTCTTCACCTTTTCATATGAAAAGCCCTCTATTCCCTCGGGCAATCTCTCATCGATCTCGCGCTGGAGCTGGACCTGCGCGCCCGGATGCGTCGCGAGGTAATAGATCGTATTGATCAACGCAGATGCCGTCGTGTCGCTAGAATATCCGATCATCATTTGTCAACATATTTCTACTCGTCTGGGAACTACCAAGCTTGGGGCTCCTCAGGGCCAACCTTACCTGCCAGCCGACATGATGAACCAGGCATCATCCTTGATTGCTTGATCCGTGGGTGGCGCGCCAGGATCACCATTTTCCTGGCCTTGGATCAACCGGCTAATGATGTCTTTAGGCTCACTCGACTTGGCCCTAGACTAGAGATACATTAGCATAGCCTGACAGTGATATTTCTACAGAAGCGGATGGAAGATATACCGCACGCCTCGTATCAAACAATTCATGACAGCGATGCCGGAACGGATTGAGGGTCGCGGACAAACCGGGAATCCTCATCAAGAGTGGCGGGATCCACGGCATAGTGCCGGCCACTGCAACGTATCGCTGGCCCTCGTCGATCATTTGCAGCTCAGGGATCCTCTTTCCGGTCTTCAGCATCTCCAGCTCCGCTCCCAGGACAACGTGTCCCATGACATCGAATGCGTAACAGTTGATCCAGTTAGTAACGTCCATGGGCCGCCCTTGGTGCTCCCGGATCTTCTCTATCAGGATTTTGCTTTGTTCCTGCACGGAATTATGATAGTATTGGATACCTGATGCCACTCACTTCTGTCAGTGGTCTGTTGGTACCGCGATCGGAAGGAAGAAGCTTGGTCAGAATCGCACCTTTAGCTGCTTGATCCCACTGTCGACGCCGCTTGCTGTGCACCTTGAGGTCGCGGATGGCAAACAATGTCTTCTTGTCGTTCTCATGAGTGACCTGATCGTACCAGGGTCCCTTAATACATCGGCTAGGAGGGCCATAGATGGCTTGAATGGCCGAGGCGCGACAAACGGAAACCTCGCGGGGACCTATTAAGAGTGTCAGTTGAGAGGGCTTGAAATAAGGTTGAGGGGGGTCTAGGATACCAATGCGAACGACATCACCATACTGCTGGTGCAGACGCTGAATAGTATAGTGCATCTGCGCATCTTTGACGGTATGGTAGGCGGCGTAGTGACGTGAAACACGGGCTGCGATCGGGCCCGGCACGTTGCGCAGTCGGTGGAAGAAGAGGCGGTACACGAGGATATTCCCGAACAGGCCTGTGAACAGCGCGCCATCCAGGAACAATACTCGAAGGACGATATCAGATGTGCTTGAGGTGGTGGGTAACAAGGCTGGAGCCAGGGTAATCAGGGCAATGTGGGCAAGAGTGAAGATGCCAAACAACCTCAACAGGCGTTTCTCGATTTCCCCCGAGCGAGTTATAAAAGCCAGCAGCACCCCGGCCAAGGTGCCAAAGACACCCAGCTGGGTCAATGGAGTCTCCATGTTGTGATAATGTTGGTTCATTTCGACTGTTCTGATGGCTTGATAATCCTGAGAAAGAAAGACTCCAGATCAAAGCCCTTCTCATAGGCGTAGGTGGGCTCTACAACTAGGAAGACAAATAGTGAAGGCACCTCTCTGAGTCAGTGAATCTCCACACAGTCACGACCGCTGGCAGGGGTGAGAAGGACAGACTGGAGGAATTACTGCTATGGAAGACATTACATACGTACTCAAATATATGTCAGTGAAACAAGTGTAGATGCGAGGCTGAGACTGACTGGTACTTACTGTCCGCTTAGGCGTGCATCTCCGGCATGAGACGGGCACCAAGTGACCCACTCATTCGTTGTCGCTCAACGAAATGGATGAAATTACTAGTCGAATCCACCAATGAGCGGCACTAGTATAGAGGCGATCATTTAAATCTAAAGTAGCTGGCCGTGTGTTTCTTTGTTTGTATAGCACCCCTGCCTTGCACTAGAATAGCGCCATGGTGTGGTACCACTAATGTTCGCCGTCTGAAAGTCCAAATGTTGGCACTCCACGATCTCTAGCCTCAACAGTTCCTATGAACTCCAACTTCAACATCTACAAGGCCTGATCGATGGCCCTGAAAGTAAAGTTCAAGAAGAGAGTTCGGGGGCAACCAAGGAACACCCTCTTCCCCGCTCCCGACTCAATCTCCACTTCGACTGACGCCGTCGATCTCATGAAGCGCCGAACAACGCACCACGACCCCATACAGCTCAGCTGCTACAGAGCACGTAGCTACTTCCGACAAAATGCTTGTCGCTGTTCTTCCTGCCTCACCCAAATCAGCTCAAGAGACCATCAGGGCTCTTCTGGAAGCAGACCAGTTAACTGCTCCAGTCCACGTGCGCGCCATCTACCGCGATCCTGCCAAAGCCCCCGCTGAGTTCGTCGCTCATGGTAGCTTCCACGCGGTCGCAGGTGATCTCAACAATGCAGCCAGCCTAGACCTAGGAAACGCTGATACCGTCTTTGCCATCACACCGCCGCGCTATGATGGCACCGACATGATGCAGTGGGCCCGCCAGGCCTCGGAAAATACTCGCGCAGCGATCCAGAAGGCCGGGACGGTGAAACGCTTGGTGCTCCTTTCTAGCATGGGGGCCGAACAGCCAGAGGGGACTGTGCGCCTGCATCCACATCGTAGTTTATACGAACAGAGATTAATAAACTCACATAGGGAGAAATTATGACGAATCACATTGCGGAAGAGATTCTCAAGGACGTTGTGCCCGAGGTGGTCTTCATGCGATGTGCCTACTTTATGGAAAACTGGGCGCCAGCCATGGAAACCGTCCAGTCAAAACATCCACATCTATCGTCGGTCATCACTCCGCTGGAGTATGAAATTCCCATGGTGAGACTAACCTAACGGTTATGTGCATTAAATTACTATAGGATTACCAGCTGAACCTTTTATTTACAAGGTTTCCGTCGCTGATATCGGAAAGGCATGTGCCACATATATAATGGCCATGGATCACCCCAAGAGCCCATATATCGTGGAGGTTCACGGTCCACGAGAATACACAGCAAAAGACGTACAGGAAGCATTCCAAGACGTGGCCGGACATGCAGTCGAACTCAAACCTGTCGAAAAGGGAGATTTGCCCGCATTTTTCGGCCAATTCTTACCTGAAGCTTCGGTCGGTCCGTTTGTAGAAATGACTCGGAGTTTCTTGCCGGGAGGGATTATTGCGAAAGAGTCTGGAAACTCCCCATCTCCGGACCGCATGTATCGTGGTCGGACGGAGCTGGTGGATGCTATTCGACGAATGTTCAAAAGGGGGTAGGATCAGGTGGATGGTTATCGGTCCGTAGTTGAACCTCATTCTGTCAGTATCATCATTGGTATCCTCATGAATTCGATATTGTTTATCCCTACATCGATGAATGCACTCTGCCCTATTCCAAAGTCGCCCATACGTGTTTTGTATCATCGCAATAATTTCCTTCTTCTCGATTTATCATCCTCAGGCCAAGGCAGCTGGAACAGATTATAATGTGCAAGCACAGACCTCACCCAATTGCAATGCTACCACAGCTTGCTGCGGTGTAACTAATGACCTCCGATATTGGTTTGAGGATAGGGACAATTAAGTAGTATTCTTAATGAGCCGAAATAAAGGAAGGAACTGAAGATTGACAAATACGGTACTGGCTAATGGTCATTGGGTATCAAGATCAAGATCACTAAAGCTTACACTCGCTAAACATCTTCCTCCTTGCTTGTTCAGCCTGCTCCTGTATATCCAGGTCCCAAAGCCATCGCAGTCGTTGCTGGAATGTCTCTCGTAGTTTTACCTCATTATCCCCCACACCATCCAAACACAAGCACAGTAGATACGCATTCTCCTTACTCGTAGTGACCACATGCTGACTTCGCGGTCGACGGACTTGATCATAAGCTCTGAACGCCTCCACGACGTCATCTACGCTGTTTACTCGCGGGTCGCTCAAGATCTCTGCCAGGACGTGGGCATCCTCGATAGCCTGACCGGCACCCGCACCTTGATGTGGCGTAGAGGCATGAGCCGCATCGCCTAAGATGGCCACGCGAGATTTAGTGTACGTTGACAAGTGGGGATGCTCAAAGAGGGCCCATTGCGAAGGGTCAGGCATGCGCTGGTAGCAGTTAGCGTCCATGCCCTGGATGAATATCATCAACGTACCTCAACGAGAGCCTGTACATATCTACCCATACCCTGGGCATCTCGTCGCATATGTTCTTTACTTGCTGGCCGAACCCATGTCTCATGATGCCAGGTCTCACTTAGGATGTAGAGACCAAAGTTCACCTTTTTGGCACGCATGATGGGGTAGGAGATGGCATAGGCGCCCTTTCCGAGATACATGGTGGATACGCGGGCGCGTTGATCACCAACGGCCATCACCATCTCATCCATGTCGAAGACAGCCCGGTAGGCATACATACCACTATACCGAGGCTGTTTGGCAGCAGACTCCTCGGGTAGCATTGATTCCTTGACCTTGGATTTTATCCCATCACATCCTACCACTACATCAGCCATGGCGATTGTGCCATCTTCAAATTGTAACCGGACCCCGTCTGTTGCTTCCGTCAGCTGGTTCAGCCGTTTGCCAAAATGTACGATTTCGGGAGGGACCAGAGCCACGAGGGCGGCGAGGAAGTCCGCACGTCTCAGCGTCGTCTGGCCCGACGGCAAGGCCTTTAGGTTCATTAGAGTTTCGCCTTCATGGTCGCCCGTGGCCCAAACGAGTTCAAACCACGTTTGTTTGTATTGTTCATAGCCGGGGCTATCCGCGTGGGTTGTGACAAGAGCGTCGTAGATGGCTCGAATCTCTGGGTCGATGAGGGGCATAGCCCGGTGAGCTGCCGGACCAATGGACAGCCCTAGCCCGATCTCTGCAAAGGCAGCGGCGGCCTCATAAATCTGAACTGGAACCTGACGTCGTAGCAGACCGACCGCGAGAACGAGGCCACCGATGCCTCCACCGATGATGGTGACGGTAAACGGTCGGAGTGGGTCCATAATGAATTGATGGGCAGCAACTTTGGTTCGGGCGGGGATAAGAAAATAGTGCCCTCAACTAGACTAAACCTCGGCTCGCACTCCCCACTACTCTTTCTTTTTCTATCTGTCGCGTTCGGGGTGTGGTTCCTCCCAATCCCGGTTCCTTGTTCAGGTCCAGATCTGGTCTGACATTGGTGGTAGTAGAGCCAGGGGGGGGGCATCAAGAGAACATTAGAAATAGATGGTTATCAATGCGGCGACGACAGGGAAGTGAGCCGCGGCGCCCCTGAGAGGATGGCCATTAATAATTTGGATCGCCACGAACAAAGCGTTCCAAGAAGCGAAGTAGGCAGGGATGTCCCATCTGGATGGACTGTGAGTGGCGTGATCCCTTGTCAAGGAATCCAGCCAATGTCACCAAGAATAGACTAAGACAACTAGTGGCCTGCTTAGATTGAGGGGAAATCGACGTGTCGCGGTCATCCCCGATCAGCCAGCCCCAATTGATGACTCCTTGCTTTGTTTCCGACGGATTCATGATGCGTGATTTTTGACGACAATGCAATTGATTGGAGGACTGTCATTAACCAATAGGAATTAGAGTCTGACAGCCGTTGATCCAGATGGAGCCCTCTCGTGCCTGGCAGATGCTCTATTCTTTTGTGTCGGCCGGTTTCCCCGCGATATCTCCGGGCCCGTGCCTGCATCTCTTCCCGTGTTCGAGGCGAATTGACTCCAGTTCAGTCCTGTCCAACTCCCCCACACATTCCCGGTCTTAAAATGCTTGACCCTCTATTCCAAATTCACACATTGCACACTCTAATCACTGGGATCGCCATCTATGTGCTACAATATATCCTACCAAGAAAGGTTATCGCACAAATGAGGAGCTTCACAGCACACCATATCAACTTCTCCCGGAAAGCTACTTCAAGTCATGGACCAGGAGCACACGACAGGTCGCGTGTGTGGAGCCCTCCGTGGAGCATCAATAGATGAATGACTGTGCCAGCTGGAAACCATCCCGCCCTCCTCCATCCTCATTGGCACACTTCCAATCCACACCAAATAAGACATCAAGAGATCTCGGGCGTGTCCGGCTTCACCCACGGACCAAGTTCATGCGCATAACTTCCTTCGACCTTGGTCTGGACAGACTGAGATCCATGATCCCTTTCCCTTCCGGGCATAGACAGGCCGATTAGGTTGACTTAGCTGGCTTTCCCCTGATGGCCTTACGCACGCCTGCCAGGATCAGAGATTTCTTTATTCCTGGTCTGTCCCGGGGTACAAAGTCTTTTGCTGGAGCCTACCCTGGGTACTCGTCGGTCCCTTCACAGAATAGGGATGATTGCGTTGGATTGTTTCTTCTTCTACTCAGCGGTGCGGTTCGGTCAGATGCATCATGCTGCCCTGGATACGGGCGGTTGACGACAATGCCTCTCAGGCATCAGTTGTCGTAGTCCCGACCATTGTGACCACGGTCATTGCCGTGGTACTCACCCTGCTGCGGCTGTACGTTCGGAAGTTTGTCATGAGGACACTGTCCTGGGATGACTGGTTCAACCTCCTCGCGACGGTAAGGGCTGCGCTGGCAGGACTGTTCAACGCTTTCACTGATATCCTATGCCTTAGTTGACCACTCTCATCGCCATGGCCTTGATCCTCGCTGCAGTCCCGTACGGACTGGGGCGCCATTATGACACCCTCGATGTCGATCGTGCCGTCTATTGTATAAAGCTCATGCGGATGTGTCTCTTTCCGCTGCTGTTCTCGACCATCTTCTTGAAGATCTCCATTAGCCTTCTCTTGATGAGGCTGTTGTACGTCTTATCCCAGAGTAACTCAACTGCACATAAGCTGAGAATGCGCTTAGTCTTACAGCCAAGGTGTGGAAGATATTCTTCTGGTGCTTTATTGCCTTCAATACGATCACGAGCCTTCTTGATGCCGCCATCGTCCTCCCTCAATGTGATCCGGTCGCGCGAACATGGGACAAACGAGTGGATGGAACTTGTTGGCCTAGTTCCGCAATCAATGGGGCGGCCATTGCGCAAGGAAGTTAGAAACCCTCTGATATCTCATTAAATTACCGACTAAGACATAAGTGTAGCAATCGCCGCGGGAACAGACATTGTGCTATCCGTCCTACCCATCGTGTTTTTGTGGAAGGTTAAGATCCCGATCAAAGTGAAGGCAGCCATATGCGGGCTCATGGCACTGGGGTTTGCGTGAGTCTATTCTATGCTTAGGCCGGATGGTATGCTGACTTCGGATGATAGGAGTGCTGGGTTTGCACTTGCGCGAACAATGTATGTTTCCACCTTGACCGAGTCATCGGATCCGACATGTACGTGAATACCTTTCGATCCAGCTCTTGTCATATTAATTCTAACATGGGACTAGGGGACTACGTGAATCTCTACATGTGTGCATTGTAAGTGAACTCCTTACCACATACACTTTGTAATGCTGACCACCTCACAGCCTAGAATCCTCCATTGGTGTCATCGCTGCCGCAGCACCCTCCGTCAGACCCCTCCTTCGTCCTGGATTCTGGACCAAGGAATATTCCCGATCGAGATCCCGCTCTTTCCCGCTGCATACGTTGACTGCCAAGAAGAGCGCACGGCCGGTCTGGGGCGATACCCTTTTCGATACCAGGCTCGATCTGGAAGAACGCCCGATCAATTCGAGGGACAGCGAGTCCAAGCTGTGGCCACAGCTGAACATGGCTATTGTGAAGCGGACATCAATAGAGGTAGTGACCAACTCTTTGACGCATAGTGAGGTGAAAGCCATGGGACGGCGAAGTGCTTAGAGTTTTGTACAGATAAAGACTGGTTGGATGCAAAAGTTTCCCACATATATTTCCTGCTACTGAATAGAGCTAGAGAGGCTAATGTCACTGTAATTATCCGGGTATATATATACTCATGCCTGCCGTTCAGTCCACCTCACCGACTGCTAAACCAGTTAGCGTAAGACAGAAAAGAGTTGTCCAGTCTTTTTCCATTCATCAAATCCTCGCCCAAGATATGTGTCAGATCTGTCTACATTGTGAGTGCTGATTTATACTCTTCTCCCATGATTGTTTGCTGGAGCTAGAAATACCCACGTCCTTAGCCGGTATCAGATGCTGGCTATCTGATTAGATTACTCTCGGTACCGGATATGCACAAGCTGCAATTTTCACAACTGAGGACAACTTCCGAGAGCAAGAGTGGACTCCTCGCTTGGTTGTCGTCGTGGTGGGGTAATATCTAGCAAGACAGATTTTCGTCGCCATCGAATAACATCGGAGCAATAAGGTCGTGGACCTGACTTTGACAGTGGAGATGTCGGACATCGGAGACAGCCAAGTTGATCTGCTCCGACAGGAACTGCAGATCTTATCCCTCCGGGGTTCTGGGCGCCAAGAACGCCTGCCCCGTTCACTTCACGTCTGTCGGATTCTCGCCGGTCTTTTCACGAGGTTTCTGCGGGATCGAGAATAATAAATGGGATAAACATGGAAGAACTAAGGATATGTCTGGGTGTTGAGGTCTCCGATTACCGTCGCAGGACCTGGCATATCTCCTCAAGTCTGCCAACGGAATCTTGATGCTGTTCCTGTACTTTAACTATGGCCGAAAACAAGGGTCATCAGTTGAATTGCCCCTCGGGGCTGTGGGTTCAGCCCTGAATTTTCGCTCCAATAGATGCGAACACAATGCTATTTCATCTTATCTGGTGCGGACCATCGTCGGACAACGGACATCGGAGAGAATCCTCCGGCCGCGTCATTATTCATGCCTCAAATCATTGGACTCTTGGCAGATGGATGTACAGCACTTATCTGATACTCAGGTGTCCGCCAACATCCGGCCGTCTACACCAATACCAATGGGAGCGTGAGCTGTCGGCAAATCTGGAGTTTCAGCAGATATACAGCGAAACAATACGATGTTGGTCAAACACTCTGCGCTCCGGTCGAATCCTATCAATCTGTTACCCGGCAGAGGCGAACAGATACAACGTGTCTGACTGCACTGTATCCAGTTCGCGCAGGACTCGCTAGGGTATGAAGAAGGATTGTGCACGGATTCCACATGTCCCACATCACCCTGACTATCTCAATATCCACCGGGTACATGATTTAGCCGGTATCCTCCCCAGTCCTGTAGGAAAGGGACGCGCAAGTGGATTTCACAGAACAGTGCTCCACGCTTAGCAATGTTTCAGCAAAATCTGCATCCGACGCGGGGCAAGTGCGCTTTTGCTCCAGGTCGGAGTGCATAAATACCACCGTCTTCTCGCTCGTCAGTTCTCCGCTCAGGCGTCGCTCATTCGAAGATCAGCTCAAGACTCAGAGTATCCGGCAGTCCTCCGCAACCATGCGCTGCTCCCTCCTCACCCTTCTTGGCCTTGCCGCCGTCCCGGCCCTTGGAGGCTGTCCCTTCGCACACACTGCGAATATGGATATTGATGACATGGTGAAGGCACACGCTCACATGTCTCGAGGGTTGGTGGCATCCAAGAGCAGCCCCTCAACTGTTCCTACCTCCTCTACTACCCCTACCGTCGGCAAGAAGGGCGTGTTCATGATGAACCGCATTGCTCCTGGCACCTCTGAACTATACATTGCCAACACGGACGGCAGCAATGAGCGTCCACTGCTCTCTGACCCCGTCTTCGAGTACCACGCCTCCTTCTCTCCCGACGGAGAATGGATTACTTTCACCAGCGAGCGCAACGGCGACGGTAACTCTGACATCTACCGGGTGCGGACCAACGGCTCTGATCTGCAGGAGCTGGTCGCCACCCCGGCAGTGGAAGACTCCGTCGTGATCTCTCCCAACGGCCGTCTGGCAGCCTATGTCTCCACCGCCAACAACATGAAGGCAAACATCTGGGTCCTCGACCTGCAGACCGGCGCGCAGTGGAACCTCACCAATACCCCCAGCACTGCCGCCAACTCCTCCCTCATGGAGAGCTATCTCCGCCCTGCCTGGTCCCCCGATGGCGAATGGATCGCCTTCTCTTCGGATCGCAACACCCAATGGGACGGACACGGCGTGCCGACCTTCCTCGGCCGCACGGGCTGGGAGACGACACAAGAGCTCTCCCTTTACGCCATCCGTCCCAACGGCTCCGACTTCCGCCAGATCATCTCCAAGCCATACTACTCGCTGGGATCTCCCAAGTGGTCCGCCGACGGTAAACGCATCGTCTACTACGAAATGACCCGGGAAGATACCTACAACGCCCACCGTCCGGAAACCATCACCACGGCCAACTCAACCATCATGTCGGTCGATTTCGCTACCGGCACCGATGTGCGTGTTGAAGTCGCCGGCTCGGGCGTCAAGCAATTCCCGCAGTACCTAGATAAGAACGGCACCATCGCCTACACCCTCAAGGGCGGCACCAGCGAGGGCTTCTACACCACCGCAGGACTGTACGTCAACACGACCTCAGGGACCCTCCGGTCCCCGGCCTGGTCCCCGGATGGCAAGCAAGTAGTCTACGAAAAGACCACCTGGAGCATCCGCGCGGGGTACAAGAAACTCTACAGCTGGGACAGCGACTGGGACTATCGGTTCACGGACGTCTTCCCCCAGATCTCGCACCAGGAGCGCATCGCCATCACACAGAAACAGCTGGGAAACTCGTCCATCGTCACGCTGAACACGACTGGTTCTGACCTGCAACTCGTCTACGATCCCAGCACGGCAGACTTTGTCAGCGACAACGAAACCACAGGTCTGAGCGCCTACCAGCCCAGTTGGTCCCCCTGCGGCGAGTGGCTTGTCTTCGGCGTGGGATTTTGGTTCGAGACTCGAGAAGCCTCCGGCGGATGGATCGTGCGGGCCACCGCCAACGGAAGCTACTCCGAGGTTCTCGTAAACAGCAGCTACTCTATCACCGAGGACGGGGCCCTGAACAATGGATTCCCGAGCTTCTCACCGGACGGCAAGAAAGTAGTGTATCGGGTATGGGGAGCCGACACCGCGACATACGGCAACGCCAGCGAGATCGGGTTACGGGTACTGGATCTCGAGACGCGGAATACAACCGTGCTGACAACTGAGTGGGATAATCTGCCCCAGTTCTCTCCTGATGGAGAGCTCATCCTGTTTACGCGCAAGACTAGCACCTACAATTACGATGTGTGCACCATTCGACCGGATGGGACAGATCTGCGCGTGTTGACGAGCAGTGGTGCCAACGATGCGCATGCGGTGTGGTCGCAGGATGGACGGATTATGTGGTCTACCGGCATGTATGGGTTCAGGTTCGAGTGTGCCTTGTATGATGATACGTTCCAGCCGTATGGACAGATTATGATTATGGATAAGGATGGGGAAAACAAGAAGTTGATGACGAACTCGATGTGGGAGGACTCGATGCCGTTGTTTTTGCCGAGGGATGTGCTTTAGTTGTGATGCTGCTGGGTGTATGATAGTTTTTACAAGGGTGGTTGTGATTATAGCATGTTGGAAAGGATGGAATGAGAGCTCTATCTGATTATAGGACCTGTTATAGGAACTGAAATCCATAGTCTGTTCCAAGCATAGGACCGTTCTGCAATGAATGATTGTGATCCAATTATCCAGCTTATTTCATACTAAGTACTCCCATATCCCTATAAATGACAGCCATATTCGCAATCGCTGCATTCTTCTTCTGCTGCGCAACATATCGCATAATCCCACACATCAGCTCCAGGGCAGTCGGAATCACACTAGTGTTTTGTCAATACCAAACACTTGTATATGATCATGCAACTCACACTGCCTTCATCACTGTTTCAACATTCAGTGGAGCAACAGTCCTGGCTCGAAGCCAAATCCACGGTATCTCCAGACCAGCACTTACAGCCCTGTACGACGGCAAGGCTATAGATAATCAGTCAATGGACCCATGAAGGTGCGATGTTCAGGGAGCATACTTGGCCGCGAGAAGTGCGATGATAGTTGTGATCTGCATGGTTCTTATACTCCTCTATATGTAAACAATACTATGATTTGAGGCAATAGGAAATAATCAAAGGTTAAGGAAGTTTGGTTCAGAATCATTCACTGGGATCCCACGATTAGTTTATACCAGGCTTTGATAAAGCAATGACGAAAACATGGGCAGTAAGAGTTGCTGTTGGACCGACTTTACATCATTTGGATTACTTGGATTTATTTGTGACATTGCTCGAAACATTCTCACCCAGTATGTATTAGACGAAATAGAACATTGTATCAATCATAGGAGACATACATCCATAATAGCATTAATTGGGATCCTGATGAGATTTATTCGTCCCCTGCAGTGGGAAACATCACGTCGTTCAAAGTGTACATCAAGCCCTAACAAACGACACTACTTGTGTAGTCAAATTCTATGAAGCCATCATATTTTGAGTAAGCAACCCAGGCCCAGGTCATGACGTTGCAATCATCTCCCGCAATGTTACATCTGCACGGGGCTTTTCCCCACAAAGTGGGTATTGAAACTGATATGACACATCTGGTCTCACGCTCTAAGTTGATCTTCTGAGAGTTCAAATTACTATGCTTTGTTAACTCTATAGTGTCATCGTCATTGATCCTCAGTGCCGTAGTATTGTTCCACTGCCATTGCTTATTGTGCAACCGATTAATGTGAACTGTAATAGTGCGACAACTATGAAAAATTTTCATAGTTTGGTTTTCCGTGACTTGGCGGCGCGGAATGAACTGGGCGACTTGATCACCCTGCGCCATTCATCATTCAGCACCAAATGATCGCGTTTAGCCATCTTCTGTCTCTTTTCCTTCCACTCCCGCTCAGTGTCGCGGTATCCGCGCATAACCTCATCTAACCAGCTGGCACAATGGCCGGCTGTCTCTCCCACCACCTCGAAGGCGAAGAAGTGGCCTTGCTTGGATAGAGTAACCTCCTTGACCTTGTCTTTTCCCCCGCTGCCCCCAACCCCTTGACCACAGGTCTTGATTCCTTCCCGGAGATCGTTGAGATTCAAGTAACTCGCTTCGCCAAGCAAGAAGAGAGCCGACGGTCGTAATGATGGCAACTTATGGAATGTACTGGATGGTTCAGGGCGATACACTGGAAGGACAGCCACAGAGGGATCCACGTCCGCATGTGTTGAGCGATCCAACTGAATCTGGCCATCCGTCATTCCAGCGTGGAACCGTTCCCGGATTTGGCCCAGCACATCATGATACTTGGTCGTGGTTAGCGTGACAGGCGGGTCGGCAGGGTCTGCCTTGTCAGGAAGGTCGGGTTGCAGGGCCGTGGGCAGATCCCGGAACCCATACTGTACCATTAGTTCGAGACAACGGGGATCCCATTTTCTGAACACCTTTTTATAACTTGCAGCAGCCGTCGCCCGGTTCGGCCAGACATCGTCACGCCACAAGGCAAAGTTGACTGGACCGGGCGGATCAGCACCAAAGCCCATCTTGGGAGGTAGTCGTTGGATTACCGGGTCGAAGAGGATGACTGAAGTTAGTAGACGAGGGTGCATAAGTGCCAGATTCGTACTTCAAAATGATCAGCAACCATCTATCTAGGGTCGTGGATGGATACGCACATAATGGTACCTCCGAAGCTGTGGCCCACTCCCACTAGCGGTCGGGGCATTTGATCGCGGAAATGATTGATCATCAGGAGCAGGTCGCGGGGATGGTCCATCCATGAGCCTAGAACATGGCGATTTTAGCAGGGTATAATGGAATCTGGGCAAGGAAGGACCACAGTCACGCACAGTCCATGCTGGATTTATCTTCGTTGAGTACTCCACTCATGCCCATGTTGGCAACGTCTGCAATCCAAATACCGCGGATGTGGAAGTTGGAATGAGCGGATCGTGCGAGAAGCTCATCCCAGAGTGGTTCGTAGAGCTCCTATTCCTAATTAGCTTACTCTTATCCAATGGCTTTGAATGCCAAATCTTTACCTTGGGAAAGCCCACAGCATGAACTGCAATGATGGTGACAGCATCATCTGGGACGGAATCGGTTAGATGGCGAGGCGTGTATTGCTTGATGTGGAGATGCAGCACATCTTCTTGGTCCACGGTGCTGCCCGCATACTCCCGAACATAACACGCGGGGATGATGTGCTCGGTGACTCTATAATTTGCGATCGACATTACCACAAATCCACAGTAACTGAGAGGTTTATGAAAAAGAGAAGTAAGCTGATGATGATGAAGGTGGGAACTAGCTGATGTAGTTAAGCTGAGTGAGACGGCAAGTCTGGGTCGGGCGGCCCACTTCCCCATGGATCTCGAAGCTGGCCAGTGATCCAATCAGTCAAGTTGACAGTTAGACTCAAAAGCATACTGGACTCTTGTTCAACATAGCTCTTGTTAAGTAAGCATTTGTGGTGTCGTGATCGAATCTTGATGTGGGAAGTTGACTTTGTGGTACATGGGACAGATGCACTGTCACACAGTCGTCCCGATAAGGCTGCCACGGGAGGGAGGATCGGGGTAATAGTTGCTTCTATGGATCCGGCATGTAGGAGAGAGCCCAAAAGAGGGAAGGAATCGGCCGGGCAATATGTTGTTTTACATACAAAATCATTGCTACGGAGTCGAGAGAGCTATGCATAACTCGTATAAGAGGCATTGTTGGGGCCGTTTTATGCCTTTTAAAGGCATAGCATTATTATCCTTCCGAGCGATCACACGGGACGGGAAGAACAGAAGGGGAAGAAGAAAAAACAAAAAGGATATGACAAGAGTGGGACTCGAACCCACGCCTCTTTCGAGACTGCAATACATCCAACTGAGTTGGACAAGCGGAATTCACTTGAGTGCAGCGCCTTAGACCACTCGGCCATCTTGCCTTGGATGGGATAATGGCCGAAGCTTTGCGTACATGTTGACAACAACTGCTTCGACCAGGACGTGACAACAATGGATGCAGCCCTATTTTCCTGAAATGGAAAACAGGTATGGGTACCTATCTAATACTTGAGTCAGTATAGTTTACATGGATTTTCTCTGGCGAATACACTAATCCCAGAATTGCGCGTGGTGATGAAGATTTTGCTACTACAGAGTGCTCTGGTACCCCCGCGGATATATTCGATCTCAGTCTCGAACCTCACGTTGGCTGCCTGTCGGTAACCTCTCCGACCATGTCAAATGCTTCAGTATGGTTGGCCAGCAAACCGTCACCAATGCGATGGCGTGCGTTGGCGGCACCATCGCCTCATCACCGCCACGCCCAGCCCGGTAACTACTAACTACTCGAATTGGCGCCTCGGCAGAGGAATCGATCATTTCCAAAGATGCGGGGAAAATTACCACGGATCATCCTTTGCTCTCCGTTTCCCATCCTCTTCACTCCAACCTTCACCTCCCGTCATGAGCGCTGAAGGAAGGATTCGCAAACGCATCCCCAAGTCATGTAAACGCTGCCACCGACGCAAGCAGCGATGCGTCGGTTATCCAACCTGTACTGGCTGCGAATCCGCCAAACAGCCCTGTCTGCGATCCGAGTCCGTTCCCTCCTGGCACCATGCCATGTCCAAGGGGGCTTTGGTGCGCCGCATCGAAGTGCTCGAAGCGCAATTATCCGCTGCACTGGAACAGGTTCCCCCGGATGAAGATGCGCCCGCGGAACAGCTGCCAACGGGCGCAAAACTACAACCCCATGACTCCCGAGCTGGAGTGGTCTCGATGCTGGCAATGAGCCATGAGGGGAGCGACAACCTGGCGTATTTGGGACCCTCGTCAGGAATGTCCATTGCAGAAGATCTGGGCCGTCTGGTGCAAAACGCCGTCTGGCTGAGATCCATCCCCATCAATGGCAGTCACCACCAGCCTCCGCCGGGTTGCGAGAGGACCGCAGCCAGCACTGCATTACCGAGCGAGGCTGTTGGTCTACGCCTCCTTAGTGCCTACTTTAAAGACATGCATACCCGTCTCCCGTTTCTTGATCGGGCGGAACTGATGCAGCTGCATGCGACCGTACGAAAGTCCCCGCCAGATGAGACGAGCGAGGCTGCACGGTTCAAACTCTTCATGGTATACGCCATTGGCGCAGCTATCCTACAAATGACCGAGACCTACGACTCCACGCCTCCGAGCGCGTTTGTAGCCATGGCACTACAGCTGGAATCTGTTCTCGGGGAATCGCAGTCCTACATGAACATCGAAGCACTCATGTTACTCGTCCTCTATCACATGCGAACATCGTCTGCCACGAGAGTATGGTATCTGATAGGTCTAGCCATGCGCATTTGTATCGATCTAGGGTTGCACCGCGAATCTCAGTATCGGAAAATGCGACCGTATGAAGGGCAGATGCGCCGGCGATTGTTCTGGTCTGTCTACCTGGTTGAGCGATACGTGGCCTGGTCGTTGGGACGGCCGTTCAGTGTTCCAGAGGCGGATATTGATGTCCATGCTCCAGCGGATCTGGATGATTCGTGTACCAGCGACGAGCTCGTTGAGCAGGCTCTGCAGGACTCAGTGGCTCCGCGCGAGCCGGCGCACGGAAGGAAGCTTCGGAGATTTATCGCTTTGGCACAGTTGCAACGCATCATGTCACAGATTCATACCCGGGTTTATCGAACAGACAAGAATATTGCAACGCTAGTCCCAGAGACGACACCTTTGCTTGCTGCGTTGGAAGCATTTGAAGTATCGCTGCCGGCAATGGCACCGGAAGAAGACGATTTCGTCCATATGCATTGGAACAACGCCATTCGGATGCTCCTTCAGCGGTTTGTGGGAGTCTTGACGCGGGAGGATCCTTTAATTGGGAAATGCCTCTATGCGTCGGGGCAGATGTGTCAGTGTTTCAAGCGGCTACGACAGCGCGATTCGTCCGGGTACTCCTTTCTCCTGGTAAATTCGCTGTATATGGCTGGATTGACTATTTGGTGGGCAGTTCCCTTTCTTCCATTACCGTAGAATTCAAACTAACGAGATAGCCTTTGCCTTTTCCGAGCCCCTCAACTGTGGACAGTAGCCGTGTCGAACGATCTGCGAGCCTGTTCTTCTGTGCTCTTCGTCATGGCAGAGAGAAATCCTAGTCTGAAGAAGTACCGAGACGGGCTGGAGATGATCATCAATCGCGTGATGGAATATGTCATTGATGCGGCAAAGGCCAATCCTATGCCAAGCGATTCCCATACCGAGGACGTTATTCCCACACCACATTCTGGGAGTGTGAGCGCACAGACTGACGTAACGACTGGGGACACTCAGTTCTCAGCTGGTTGGTTCGACTTTCAGTATCCGTTGCCCCCTATGGGAGGGCTAACCGGGCCGGGATCTGCAACAGCAGATACACCCGACTTGTGGCACACATTCAGCGACATGTTTCCGGAGATATGGTCGAACGACCTATTAAGCATGGACATGTCTGATGGACTAAACTGGTTTACTCCGGAGTAGATGTGAACTAGCAGATACCCATTTGCACATAATAATAATATGATTACAAATGAGCGGGAGACAGCGTATCCTCAATCCCCAGATCCTCCCTCCGCGACTTACTCTCGGGATCAAAGTAAGGCACCTCACCCACACCAACAGCGCGATTGCCACTTCTAGGCCCAAAACCTTCGTGATCACCGGTGGCCGTATGGAACACACTGCGATTATCCCAGATGGCTATATCGTCAGTATTTGCGTGAGTGGAAGGAGTATCCAACATACCAATATCGTTCGGCTCATTCCACTTGAACCGCACCTGTAGATCATGACCGTAGGTAATCAGATCATGAAAGTACTGCAGCATATTCGCACTCTCTTTCCGATTCAATTCGTTGATCTTAGTTGGAAAGGCCCCTATTCATATCAGCACACCAGTCCAACCTCACACCCACTGCACCCAACAACATAAACATACCAATCGGGAACACCGACTTCCACCCCGTAATCGGATTCGTCCTAACGACCTATCCCCACCATCAGCCAACCACTTCATACCTCAGCAATTCCAGAAAGGGTCCTACCGGATGCACCGCCTCCAACTCATCCCCCACATTAACCGGCGCGCCCCTCTCCCCCTCATAAACCTTAACCCCCATCCTCTTAAACCCCTCCCCAACATGCGTCGCACTCAACCCCTCCAAAAACGCCCTATAGGGTTTACTTATCCGATCATAAACCTCATACCCAGAAGCCCACAGCGTATCACCCCCCGTAACAGGCAACTGCGTCAACCTAAGACTGGAGAAATCGGCCGGGGCCTTCTCAAACGCAATATCACTATGCCAGACCGCCGCCATACGGGTATAATCCGAGCCCTTGTAGAGCTTCTTCCGTCCTTCGGAGTTGATCGTGCTGATTTGGGGGTCGGGGTCGCCGAATTCTCTTGAGTCGTTGGTTACGGGGTGGATGTGTAGGCCGTGCGATGGGGGGCGGGTGGTGAGGTGGCCCATTTGGAGGATGAGCTGTTTTTGGAGGTCGTTGGTTAGGTTGTGCTGGGAGCGGAAGAAGACGACGCCTCTTTCTGCTACTGTGGTAGTTGTGAGTATTGGGGTTGAGGGGTGGGTATTTATGATGTGGGTGGGATGAATGGGAGGGAATGTACCGAGCACGGCAAGGTCACGAATACGTTGTTCAGCATTCGGGGCATTGAGGATGTCATCGACGATGTTGCAGCTGTCTTTGGGGAATTCGGTGCCGATGACAGGGGTGACGAGGATGGGGTTGAAGGTGTCGAGGGAGCCGGTGGAGTGGATTCGCTGGGGCATGGTAGTATAAATGTGTATCTTTGTATTTATTTGGATATGGATGGTGATTTATGTAGTATGTGTTTGTAAGTGGCAGATATCGATATTTATGTTCAGCCGGGTGTGGTGTATAGATCGGCTTTCGGCGTTAGGAGGGTGCTGGGATCTGCAGATATCGCCGATTGCGTTATAGATGGGAAGGATGGTTTCACTAGGCTTAGATGGTATCATCGGGATTAAAGAAATTCATGAATGCAGAAGTCTCTTTAGATGGGTATGGTTCGGACAATGGTTGTGTGGTCGGCGATGAATCAAGATAATACCTCCAACCCTGTTGTATCTTGTTTCAGTTTATGTTACAAGACGGCTTGCATAGTTCTCCCAGCAACTGTATGCTAAGCTCAGAAGTATGCGGGTCTTACAAATTACTGACAGTCTGCAATGGACGGATCTCCACAACGCTATGCATATGCATCTGATATCACAAAGCTCCACAAACGATCATACAGAAGGCTCAAATCGCTGAAGAACAAAACATCCAATATACACAAAGAAGAAAAACAAACAAGATACCAAGGAGTAAATCTATCATCCTCACGATGACGACTCCGATCGGTAATGTCATGCTGCAATCATGTCGAACATTGTCCTGGTTATCAGACCAAACTCATACACCCTAAACTATTCTCCAAATCAAACCATATTCGCCCGATGCTCATCCGAAGGCGTCCCCGGTGCCGTCCGGTTCATCGGCACACTCAGAGTCTCACTAGCCGCCATGGAGGTAGGCCTCCTCGCCATCTGATCCAGATTGAGTTGCGAGTTGGAGGCGAACATCATAGAGGCGCGGTCAAACTTGGCCTCGCTCTGGGGCCGGCCATCGGCCAGCGGCACCATGGAATAGTCGGCTCCTGCGTCGGCCTTCTTGGCCAGACGGTTGGTCTTGGCCTTTTCGCGGAAGCAGAGGAAGAAGGTGAGGGCGAGGAAGATAATAATGAGGATACTGAAGGTCACGATGGCGGCGATCTCTCCGCGGTGGTCGCGCTCCTTTTGCGCGGCGGAGACGGTGCTCGTGGCGGAGGTGGTGGTGCTAGTGGTCGTCGAGGTGGTCGTGGTACTTTGAGTGGTGGAGGTGGCGCTGGTGGTGGATTGAGAGGATGAGGAAGAAGTGGTACTGCTGCTAGAGCTGGTGCTCGTGGCAGTAGTTGCGGTAGTCGTCGCACTGGTCGTGGAGGTATCGGAGGTGGTGGTGGCTTCGGTAGTGCTGGTCGACTCGGATGTAGTGGAGTCCGCAGTGGTGGTGGCTGCATCCGTCGTGGTGGTATCATCGGTGGTGGTCGCCCTCTTTTGGAAGTTCAAAGACCGGTTATACCGCTTGGGCTTGAGGTATTGATCAACGATGGATGTTGGTTGAGCGACCGGCGCTTCGGTTTGCGGTGACAGCGAAAAAATTCCAGCCGCGGGTTCCGCGTGCGCAAGAGCGGCGGATGATAGGGCGCTGAGCGCCAGCAGATAGCGGAGTTGCATGATGGATTGGAGGAGGGGTCGGATATAGGCAGCAGCAAAGTCGGGTACAAGTAGTTAGGAGGATGAAGGAAGAGGAGGGAGAGGATGAGGCAGAGGGGATTCAGGGTAGAGAAGGGATTGTAGGGCCCATCGGAACAGAACTACCGACAGGCCCTCAAATATGAATGACGAGCGAGATGATGGGCGAGAGAGCCGAAATCTCTGCCACGCCAATCTTGTTGGCAGTCGTCGTACTCCATAACGTGCCTCAACTAGGGCTGAGGCTTTCGCAGGTTTATTTTTATAGCGCTTGACTCGGTGATTGGCTTCGGGGATCCGGAGTGGGTCGTCGGCCACTCAGCGGCCACGCGGCTTTGGTCCACCCATTGCTTGTTCGTTTCTTGTCATTAGTTTCTAGCGATGGATTGCGATGGCACCGGCTTTATCTTGTTCGTTTCCAGTAGAGGATGAGGTATCCTTTTCAATCCCAGCCGGGATTACTCCCTTCGTGATCACTGTGAGCAAAGAATCACCAATATCCACAACATGAACCCTCACTACACCCCTTTTTCCACCCTGACTCCACTGCACCACTTCGTGAGGAAAAGAATTTAGCCCAAGCACACCAAATCTGGAGCCAACCGAGGCGTTTTTCCCGCTAAAAGCTTCGCTCTCCCCAACAGAGGGCTGGGCAAATGCAACGGCCGATCGTCGAACTGGTGAGCGCCTTTGGGAATGGTCCACCCACGGAAACCCAGCCACGCCGAACAGGCCATCACGAAGCACAAGAATAGCAGAGTGAAACCAACTCTGAACAGAGTCGACATCTGCGCCACGCTACTTACGGTAGTCACTCCACGGATTCAACTCCTTCAAGTTTAATGCCGTTGTCGAAAGGGATTAAAAGGCGTGTGATGATGCATTCACGCACCATCTTACGTGGTTTGTCCGTCTCATCTCCACTTACTAACCCATATTCTGTGTGCGCCAAAGATCGACGCGTTCTGGCAATAAATCAACTCCCGGCTTAACCTTAAAATGATGCTAGTGTTTTTCCACCGCGTTTTCTAGATTCCACGCGATTTTCTCCTTTACCGTCACAGCCTTTATTCCCCGATGGAGCAAAACTTAGAAAAAACTAAACACTTAGTTGTAATGCCGGTTGAACATGCCCCGCTCACAACGGTAGACGTAGTTAGAAGTACTCGCCGATGGGCTTATTCTACGTGAGCCACGTATGCACTCACTCCAACTTAATCTGCAGGGGAGAGAATATATATTATTAGCAGTATTCGACTGAAACTGCATTCTGTAGTTTTGGGAATTTCGGAACCACCTGCCAGGTCCTACTATGCTGTGCTTGCTTTGATTGCAGTGGTGTACTATGTCGTCGGTGGTTGATTTCTACGAACATCTGAGACATATCATTATGCGCCCTCTTACTCCTGAGAAAAAGACTGACTGAGCGTGGCGCACTCACCTCAGCAACTAGCACCGTCCTGCAGACCGAACCACTATTGAATATAATACTAGTACCGACTTGGAGGCCTGTGCTCTATCTACTAGTACGCCGACCGAGGTCGCAACAATTGCGCCCACATCCCGAACTGTTCCAAATACGATGTTGTCGCATTGAATGTGTAAGAGCCCCAGTGCAGATCCATTGACCCCCCCGTCGCCGAAATATCTCGAATGCAACCATTTCCGGATGCTCTCCCAGTCGGTGTCTCCCCTGGTCGTTATTGTCAGCATAATCCATTACTTTGTACCGTCTCAATCTGTTTTCTTTGTGTCTAGATGGATGTCATTATTGAATATACAGAGTGATAGTACGGGTAACTGAAGCAGTCCAAGTTTGGGGGCTCCATTTCCGTATATAAATCTATCGCGGACTTGTAGTCGCTGTGATGGCCATGATACCAGAACAGTTTCCGACTGTATTTGATTACATTGATTATACTTGTGATCATCACTCATACATTCATCACTCATACAGGCCAACCCCGCTGCCATCAGCTCAACCCCGGCCAGGCCGACTCGAACCCCGTGTCGAACCCCAGCGACCAATTCTCGTCGAGAAACGGCCACTGCCACATCTCCGCCTCCACATCTGCCCATTCACCACTACCACCGCTACTTCCACTACCGCCTGGCGCTGTCAGCTCGGCCACCGACATGCGTCGCACTCCAACTCCCTCCGAGGATACTCCTGGGCGGCGTCGTGAAGCGGGCGCTGTCTCAGGTCGCGAGACACGAATGTCGCCGTATTCATCAAGGGTACCAGCCAGGGTGAGATGCTCCGGACGGGAAACGCCTGTAGGGCCTTGGGCCGTGGTTCGGGCAGTTTCATAGAACCGGTTGGCTTCTTGGAGGGTTCGCCACTATCACCTGTTAATCTTTCAAAAGAGATTGGATAGGAGGTGTGGGGGTCATCGTACCCAGCTCGTACCCACATCCCAGAACCGACACAGTCGCTCCAGATACTCCAGATTCATCTTCTTCTCTTCCTGCGCGCGCGCCAGACCCCCCGGGTACCGGCCCGGACAGACAGTCCCATACATGTTAATATGGGCGGCGACGAAGACGCTGAACCCTGCGTAAGGGGTAATGACAGGAGTAGCGCAGGCCTCGAGAGCAGCAAGTATAGTGCCGATGTGCTGGGCTGTCGCGAAGAGGTGGTCAATGGCTTCGTCGTCGGCGGGATCCTGATGGTCGATGAATGATTTGGGGGTGGAGAGGAAGCGGTCGCGGTAAAGGAACAGAATACTATCGTTGTCAGTAAGGATCACATCAAACATCAGGACGGTCAGATGAGCACACCTCATAAAATACACCAGGTTGATATAAGCGAACAACTCCCCCGACCCCAAGGCCACATGCGCCTGCGCATTGGTCTCGGGATACCGCACCGTCGCGTCCTGAAGCCCCCTCCACTCGTCCAGCTCGGCTTTGAGCATCTCCCACGCGCGAAGAGACAGCCCTGCCGATCCTTGCGCCCGACCGCGACGGCTCTCATTGGCAAATCGGAGTATACGAACGAATATGTCAAAGCCCCGTGTGACGATAGTCAATCCCCGATCGATGGATAGATTCAGTGCCAAAGAGGATGAGCGGTTCATGTCCGCCGGCATCAAGCGCGGTGTTGCTTTCCCAAAGGTGAAATCGGAATCGCTGATGGGGAGGGGCACGGAGATCTGGCGGAAGGAGAGGGCAAAGTGTTGGCGGGCGCCGGAGCTGAGCTCGCAGTCCTGCGCGAAGCAGCACCAGTAGGTGCGGACCAGCTGTTCGTAGGTGATGCGATGGGCGGGCAGGTCGAGAAGGGGTTGTTGTTCCATGGTGTCATCGGCGGTCTTGAGGAGGGATTGGATCATGTAGGTGGCCATGCCTGGATCGGTCCATTGTGTCAGTGATGGTCGGGCTGAAGGGGTAAGTTGAGTGGAGCAGTACCGCTGCACATCCACGCGCGATAAGGCCGACCAGACCCCCACTCATACAGCGAGATCATGACAAGGGATTGGGCAAGATAGAGGGAGGGAGCTTCGAAGGCGCGATGGGCCAGCTGAGAGCGCGCATACTCGGCGTAGGTTTCAGGAGCAGCCAGGGCGGCGTCGGGCATGAAGCGGGCGCATAGAGAAAGTAGAGCTGAAAGAAAAACGGGTTCAACCGCGGAGGCATTGTGGGAGAGATCGGCGATCAGCGAGGGATAGTGGAGGAAGTTGACGACGGGGAATTTCTTGCGATAGATGTCGCATGCTGCGATGAGAGTGGCCGGGGCGATAGCAGTGATGGGGTTAGCGGAATGAGGAGGAGTCGGCGTAAGAGCGGGCGAGCTGGCTGTGGGAGTGGTCGCGGTTGTCCTCGTTGTGTTTGCTGCTGTGTTTGTCCCTGTTCGTATCCCTGATGCTGATGCTGAACCTGAACCGGTTCTCCTGATGCTGGCTCTGCGAGGGGTTCGGGGTGTACGCACACCGGGAGAGCGCGGATCGGTCAGGACGCAAGTATCGCGATTGAGGCGGTGGCAGCGACGGCAGGGAGGATGGCCATCGTGGATGCACTTGACCTTGGATTGTCTAGTAAGTGAGCAATTGATAAAGGTGATTGGACAGGATGGGTTGGAGTGGAATGGAATGGAAGTGAGGGAGCTTAGCTTACCGACAGTTGTCGCAGGAAATGGACAGGCGCATTGTTGCAACCACCTCAAAGCCGACGCGGGAATAAATTGAGATGGAAATGGCCAGAATTGAGGGGCGGAAATTGTGTGAGGGGCACGTGAGGGGTATCAAGATTATATTCCCGATGATCGGGAATAACGGAAGGGATATCGGGAATAATGAGGGGGAATGCCCTATTCTTTGTCACGGAAATTGCAGCAAGTGGATTCCATCAAGTAATTTCTCCAATAATCTGGTCCGGCCATTTTGTCTCTCTCTGTTTATTTTTAAATTAGGGTTGCATTTTAATTTTCCGATTGACTCATGGAGATCTCATTAGTTCATCATATTAAACTCTTGTCTGTCAGGTTCTCTGTCTCTCTATTAGATAGCTCGGGTATTATTATCATGACATTAAGGTTGAAGCAAACCCAACTATGCCTGATAGATGGCCTCCAGCCACTGACACAGTTTATCCACCGCCATCTCATCCGTAGCCCAAGATGTCACAATGCGAATCACCGTGCCAGTTTCACGCTTGTCCCACTCGTAGAACCGAATGCGCTCTGCCAGCCGATGCAGCATCGCATCCGGTACCACGACAAACACCTGGTTGGTTTCTGTGTCGGCCGCCAGCTCCCATCCCATGCGCTCAAACTGCGCCGAAATGCGCCGTGCCATTGCATTGGCATGTCTAGCCAGCTCAAAATACAATTCATCCCGAAACAACTCGGCAAATTGCACTCCCATGACGCGAGACTTGCCCAGCAAGGCTCCGCGCTGCTTGATATTAAATTCAAAACCTTCGGCCAGACTTCTGCGCACCACGACCGCCTCGCCCAGCAAGGCGCCCATCTTCGTGCCACCGATCCAGAAGATATCCGTGTAATCGACCATGTCGCGCAGGGTGAGATCATTCATCTCGGCGCTCAGCGCCACCCCCAATCGCGCTCCGTCCACATGCAGCAGTAAATCCCGCCGTCGACACGTCTCCGACAGCCGCCGCAGCTCACTCCGCGTGTAGATCGTGCCCACCTCCGTCGCATTGGAGATGTACACCAGCCGCGGCTTGGCCATGTGCGGGAAAAAGGTATTGCGATCCAAGACCCGCTCGAGATTCTCAGGGGTCATTTTCCCCCGGACCCCGGGCACGGGGATGACTTTGTGACCGGTGGCTTCGATGGCTCCGGCTTCTTTGTCCAGGATGTGTCCGGTTTCTACAGCCAGAACGGCTTCATACGGCCGCAGACAGCTGGCAATAGAGATGAGATTGGCGGCCGTTCCACTGGGGACAAAGTGGATGGCGACTTCATCGTCGGTGGCTTGTATTTGAGAGTAAATTAATTGACGAGCTTCGTGTGTGTACTCATCGGTGCCGTAACCGGTTTGTTGTGTGGCGTTGGTGAGGAGGAGGGACTGCAGTAGGCGTGGATGAGCACCCTCGCTGTAGTCATCCAGGAAGCTGTATGGTTGGGTGAGTTTGACGATCATTGTGTGTCAACCCTGTTGAAGGTTTTACTGGATATATGGAGATGTAAAGAAGAAAAGAAGGAAAAAGAAAAAAGCGGGAATTGAGTTTTGGGAGGGAAGCTTTATGAGGAGAAAATGTGTGAGGGGAAATGGATGTCATTTCCGCTCGGGAATGGTTCGGGAATGTGAGTCATGTCAGGATGAAGCCAGAATTTGACAAAGAGAAATAAGATGGTCGGATCCACTAGGTGGGCCGATTCTAAACTTATCCGTGACAGCTAGATAACCAGATACTAGATGTACGCCAGATAGATTGTTGGTAGCTATGATAGTGATGCCTGTCTAAGCTCTCTAGTGGGGTTATGGTCACCATAACCCTCACCAGATCCCGTACAATTCCTCGTATAGTTCTATCAAATCCCAAGATCAAGTGGCCGGCAGCGCCGGATTCTGGGCTTATTGATCGACCGAATCCCTGTTTAGCTGCCGCGGGCGATCAGATCTCCTCGGGAATATGTACAAGCATTGGTTTCAACAACGCTCCTGCAAGGCGTATCTCTACTACGACCAGGGAGGCAGTCACCGTATCATAACAAAACAGTTGTTGTCGTGTTACCAGATAGGATCTGAAAACATGTACTATTGTAATTGACTGACTAAAGCCGAATACTAGTTATAGATCAATATATTGTATACTAGCGCCAGTTCTTGAGTAACTTGGTATCACTCCAGGCTGCATCGTCTGATATGTCCTATTTCCGCCATTTATTTGCACTCCCACACCGACCATTCCAGGAACCATGTGATGCAGATAACCCTCAAGAATGATTTTAACCTCCCATGCAGCATCTAGTGATACCATCGTATTCTCACAGCAAACCCGACACAGCAAAGCAGCCGATCGGACTGCACTCACTCACCGGGAGAAGCTGCTTCTGTTTAGTCCATAGTCAAGAACGATTTCACCAACGGTCGAATTGGTTAACAAGTCATAGAACAGGCAAGGATGCCGCATGCCAAGACGAGACACATTCCCTGATTCCATCCTACCACAAGATCGTTGTACTAGGGAACGAGCAAAGCCCGCGATAAACGGGAAAATAGCGGAATTTATCAATCCCGGATTCCCGACGCGGCTAGGCCCTCGGAGCGCTCCGCTTAGTCATTAGTGCTTACGAATCGGCCAGTTTCCGAAGGGGGAGCTGTATCCAATCAACTCTTTCATATTCGTGAGCTATCAAGTAGCACCGTCAGGTACATCATCTAGTCTAAATATACAAAACTATCCACTCATCATTCAGAAACTTTCATTCCTTTCCTCGTCGAGACTCGACTTGCGATTAAGCAGAAGCGGAAGCGGATGCAGAGGGGGTGGGGAGACCACCGTCAACAGCGTCCGGGTCACCATCGCAGGTACCGCAGACAGACTCGCCGCCACTAGCAGTGTACACGTTGGTCCAATAGGGGTAGTGGATGGCCGAGGTGTTGACGGCAACAGTGAGGTAGGCGAACAGACCGTCCTCGAGGGAGTCGCCCAGGTAGACGTAGTTCAGGAAGGGGTCAGTGTCGGCGTTCTCGGTCTCCACGGTGACCACGCGGTCCTCTGCGTTGGTAGTGATGGGGATCGAGTTGGTGTTGTAAGGGTAGGTGGACTCGACCTTGCTGATCATGTCCTGGTCCCAGAAGATCTGGCCAATGTGGGGGATGGAGCCACCCGCCAGGGTGTTGTTGGGCAGCAGAGTGGCGCCCCAGTGCACAATGTTGTGGTAGTGGGTGGTGCGGTCAGCGTAGTGACCGGGGAACAGGGTGTTGAAGGTCACCACTCCGTCCTCATCGGTCTGCTGCACACCACGAAGGAAGGTGCGGTTGTAGTTGGCCAGGTCGTTGGAGTTACCATTGCCATCAGCCACCAGGCCGGAGTAGACACCGGTGGCGTTGCAGCCCCAGATCTCGGTGTAGATGCCAGTGAGGGGCTGGCAGGTCTCGACGTCAATGAATTGCTGCTCGACGGTGACAGGAATACCCGGCTCGTTCTCACGGATGTCGCCGCGAATGTGCTCGCCGGGGATCCAGTAGGGTCCGGTTTCACCCTCAGCGCTGGGTCCGAGGAGGCAGATCTTCTTGTCATCGTTGAAGACCTCGGTCTCGGGGGTGCTGGACGAGATGGGACGGGTGGACAGGTGCGATTTGTTCAACACCTCAGCGGTGTCGCCACGGGCCTGCAACTGACGGCGGTGCATATCGACCACGGCGCGGCGACGGGCCTCAGCGCGGGCGTGAAGGCCGCTGGCCTCCAGGCTGGCCTCACACTTCTGCAGACCGTGGGCCACACTGCGCTTGAAGGAGCGCTGCTGAAGGGCCTCACGCTCCTCATGGTGACCCGGGTGGGCGGTGGCCAGGAGGGCATTGCCGACAACGGCCAAGTTAAGGACGTTCTTGATTTGCATATTGAATCCAGGAGAAGTGCTGCAGAGATGCTTGACAATGTGAGGATGCTTGCGATGCGAGTGGAAGACTGAAGAGGTAACTGGGAGGGCATGTCCAAGGGGTTTATATAGCTATCTTGGAGTGAACTCGCGATCCCGATTCCTCTTCGGTACAATCAATATCACGCTGTGATGGATAATAGTTTATTCGGCATCCTTGTCTCGATGCGACTGAAATTCTCGTGCAGCCGATTCGATAAAGGTACCTATGGTGCACCGAGGGATGATCGTCCTGCAAACAAGGTCGATCACTTGGCATCAGTGTAGCAACCGATGGCGAGCTTAGCCCATGGTCCTCAGGTGTCTCCCTTAGGTTTCAATGAAGTCGAGGCCAATATACTCCGAAGAATGGAGCTGATGGAGACTGGATTATCTGGACTGTGATAGGCTGCACATGCATATGAGATACCAGCCATGTAGAGAAATATATTGAGTGAGCTGGCCAGACCGTCAGTAGTAGAAGGCCATCGTGCCAGAGCGGCCGCTGTAAATGGCTGTGATGTAAACCTCCCACAATAGGATTCTTCCACCCACATTCTCCACAGTCTGGGCATTGTGGGTGAGTGGATGAGTTGATGGCGACTATCGATCCAGGTTATCATAACCTAAGTATCTGCAGAAACTTGGAGTGATGGAAAGATGCTGGGAATAGTAACCAGGGTGCCGGATGTGGAAGGCGGCATAGACTTCAGGTGGTTGTGCCAAGCCGCGATGGAGATGCCAAGCCAGCGTGCGGAAATCGGATTCGACGAGAGAGACCGCGGAAGGAAGACCAACGCGAAACTAATTCGCTGGGAAGTGCTGATCACGACGATCGGGGGCCATCCGACACTAACAATAATGCATTGTCTCTCACTGGCTGGCGGAGGAGGTCCTGCAGACATCGGCGGGCCGAACGACCTTTCCGGATAGTATTCAGCAGTTGTAATCCGTTAAAAGGACACTGGGAGATCGGCCGGCTCTACTATGGGATGAGTCCACTCGGTTCGGCCCACCGTGAGCAGAGTACACCATCTCTCCTTCACATGCCCCGTCGGGATGGTCTCATTGGCAGGTTAATTCCATTCCTGACCCCGAAATGTCGCAGTTAATTCATCCCACTCTATGTACTTCCCAGTCGGTGACTTACAGCATAGCCTTCGGGTCTCGAGATGAAGCCTACACATCTCTCGACAGGAGGGGAAATTCCTCTTGAAAAGACAAACGGCTGCACCCGACGGTGTCGTCAAGTGGTTCGACCCAACCGGGATAGACTAGCTGGCCACAGCTGCAGACAGCTTATTAGCGCTGCGCTGCATAAGTCTTCTTGGCGATGCTGCAAGCCGCGCAGGATGAGGACCTCGAACGTCCAGATAGATTGAAGTCGGATTAGAATTTAACCCCAGACGGCGTTCCTTCGGGAAGGCCGCAGATCCACAATTCACCTGCCGTATCCAGACCCGACGCGTCGTCAGCATCGTCCCTTCGATAGCGAAGCGACCCTTTGAAATCGGAACTATTTTGAGCATAATTGGCACAGGGCCCAGCGGGTACCTAGACACGGCTCAGGGTCATCGCTTGGGGGAAAGAATACGGGGAATAAACCACTGCCGGCGGGAACGAGAAGACGGGTATACCACCATGGCGGTGCACGATAGCGATCGTCAGCAGCGCATCGGTCAGTAATGATCCGTTACCGGGGATAAGCCTGATTAGGTAGGTGAAGCCGGGCTCCGTCGGCGGCCTGCATACTCCTCATGTCGAATAGATGAAACTGAACGCCTGCCATTGGGCAATAACCCCCTCATGGGAGCTTTCCCTTGGCACTCCAATGTAACCTCTCGATTTCAAGCATGATGGAGGACCTCGGTGGGGTGGTGACCCTATCAATCCCGCACTAAACCGCTGCAGGATTCTGGAGTATCATGTTGAGTCACGATTGATAAGCCGGTAACCTTGGGGGGCAAGTTGGTGGAAACCCCCGGATGAGGATTCACCCATTTTGATTCAGCCGTCAGATAAGGAAGAAGTGTCTCAGCTAAAGAAACACGTCTCGAGCCTCTGGTCACCCCGGAGTCGGACTGGTGAGGTATGCTTTCATTGACTGCCAAGCCAGTACTGCCGCTATGGAATGGTTGGTGGGGGGTTATCTCCTCCAAGCAACAATGAAGTACATGGTCCTGCAGGAACCGGGAGTGTCGGATGCAACAACGCAGTGGCTTCCGAGCCCTTCCCGAGCTGAATGGTAAGTCATTAAGTGAATAGGGCCAGCTCGGCGAGGGGCCGGCTGACACTGCTGTTCGAATCTATCGCAGCACAGAATTGAGCAAGTAGGCAAGGTCCTCGTCTTATGTTTGGCAGATGCATCGTGGCATGATGCTATGGCCTGATCATGATGAGCTCAGATTGACTATACTCTTGGGCAAGGTCTTCATGCAGTGGGGGCTCGTGGACCCATTTAGCAGAATCCACGAGGCAGTGAGCCTGTATTCCGATTCCTCAGCGAAGGCTTCTTCTATAAAATGTTGATTGGAAGCGTTCGACTGCTACCCTGCACCATGCAGTACCGGGTAAGTCTTTCGCCACGCCTTAGATCCCATGTGAGGGAGCTGAAGCGAGAAGTAAGCGAGAGGAATCGGAATGGAGCGGGGAGTAAGGGTAAGCAGTCGAATCTGGTGATCTGTTCTCAAAGGCCTAAAGAGCATAGCGCACGCACCAGTCTCTGTATATCGTGCCATCACTCCCATAGACCAGTCCAATACACCTCGAGATCTTCCGTCATTACTAAGTTGGTGCCACAATCCTTGCACGATCTACGCTCCATTAGGAGCATAGTGTTTCGTCTGATTGTCGCTCGCCTGCCGCAATAGTTCTCATAAAAATCTTTGCTGGAATATGTTAGACCGCGTGCAGCAAAATCATTCTCCAGGCACCCTTTAAAAGGCCTAGGAGAGCCGCTACATGGTTTCTGGGGCTATCTTAGATAAGGCCAGAGAAAATTCCAGTCTCTCTACGCCGCTGCATTGACAAATGGCCATCTAGAAGCTCTCTCTGCTGACCATGTAACCCTTAGGTTATGCTAATATCGTAGAACTCATTTTCTACGCTGCCCGTATTCGAGTTATAATTGGCCTATTGGCCATCTTATTGATATACAACATATCAAGATTGGAACTCCGCATTGAACATTGTACTTTCAGGACTAGGAAAGATATGCCATCATGTGCATGAATTCGGGAACGTATTGCTGGATACTAAGTGAGACGTGACAGCGTGAGAGGATAGGACATGACAATACACGTAAGAGAGCTGATGAAGGAGACCGTAACGCGAGACACAATAGTATATCAAAGATACAAGCATCTGCGTCTAATATACTACCGTTGCGGAACATACTACGAGTGTGTTAGCCCATAGTGGCACTCGTTGCTTGTGATTCCCAGACATATATATTTTGGCCGGGTCCATTGCGCCTGCTACTGAGTAGTATGAATTGTACTACTGCTCCAACACACCCATAATACAAGTAGGCCCTAAAAGATGCTTAAGATGAAATTTCCCGGCAGTTTAGTTCAATTCAATATGACTAAACAGTTTCCAGTGACTAGTCACTACTGTCTATACTTGATTATTGTCATCTTTCTATTATCTATATATGAGGATGTCCCTCACTACAAATGCCACGGGCTTACTATGAAACAAGTCAGTTGAAACGCTCGTGCTTAAGTAGCACATTTATTCTTCTGGCCTAATGCATTAGTTATTTCAGAATGGTTTACACTAAGGGGTCTCACTATCATACCTCTAAATATGCCGAAAGTCTTGATCATTGGACTACCATACATTGCGCAAATTCAAAGGGCTTTGCCAAGTAATTGGCCAGGATTCAGTGCTATAGAACGTCTGTTATGGTGGGTTCTAGATGCTAGAGGCTAATCCACTGAGTTTGCACACGGACATGACCAGAGGGGGGGAATTGCAGTCAGGCAAAGTGTATCAGACCAAAAGTGAGGTAACTGAAGTATTATTACATGTTTATCAATAGAATTAGATAGCAGTGGTCGTAGAAATACCAACCGCAGGATCTTGCAGAGACACGTCTATAGATAACTGATGCGGTGTATTGCATGGAAGAGTCAGGACAGAAAGGGATATTTGGGGGTGAGTAACTCCGTCCTGATGCTCTAGGTGTCTTCACTGGGTATATTTAATAAAGGGTATAATGATTACAGTCTCGCCTTTCGCTCCTTCTTCAACGCTGCGCGGACCGGTTCGATGAAGTTAGCCAGCATCTCCTTATCCGCACCGGCATACACCTTCGGTGGCGAGACATTCCACGGCGGGATGACTCTACGACCGTCCGGGCCGGAGCCGGTAATCTCCACCACTGAACCGCCGGAATATTTGCCCTGCTGGATCAGCTCGAGCATGTACTCTGCCACTTCTGCTGCCGGGACATGTTTCACTCGGTCATAGGATAGATGCTTGCGGACACCGGGGACGGAGTCCCACAGAGGCGTGGGGACAACGCTGGTTGACATTAGCGCATGCTCTAGGAAATCGGAGAATCGAAGGATAAAAGGGGATGAAATACCCTGGACAGATGGAAGTGACTTTCACGCCCTCCAATTGGTCAAGCATGGTCATCGACTTGACGAAGCCCCAGATGGCATGTTTGGATGCGCAGTACAGGGGGCTCTGGATCGAAGCACTTATTCCCGCGATAGAGGAGACCAGGCATACGACACCCTTCTTATCCTTACCCAGGAGGGCTCGGATGGCCAGTCGAGTAAGTTTAATAGGGTGGTTGACATTGATGTCGATACACGCGTAGTCGGTCGTTTCCGAGTCTTCCCAGAAACTGGACCATGACTGATTTTGAATTCCGTGAGCGAGGAGATCGTGAAATATTTGATGAACCGAGAAATGCTTGGTTAGGAAGAAACACGTACGGGTTCAAAGATGGCGGCCGATGCGACATAGACGTCAGGGACATCGTTCCATTTGTCTTGCGAGAGCTGGATGAGGGCTTGCAACTCGGCCCAGTTACGAACGTCACAACGCTGAAAGATAACGGCGTCGGAGCTGTCGACAAACTGTTGGGCTTCGGGAATGAGGCGCAGACCGGCGATGATGATTCGGGCGCCTTTGGCGGCGGCCTGGCGGCAAAGCTGCAATCCGATCCCTGAGTGGTGCGTTAGTGTGATGTGGAGAAAGGGTGAAGTGAAGTAAGGGTCAAATTGAGGCCTCACCGGATCCTCCTCCTGTCACTAGGACTATTTTGTTGTCGACGGGAAAGTCACCGAACATGGTACCGTAAGACAAGATCAAACGGAAGATGAGGTTGAGGTCGATCTGACAGAGGGGGAGCCAGGAATTAATAAGGGATCAGCCTGGCCTCGGCAGGGAGTGAGCTGACTGACTCGCACGCGGACGACGCTCTACGCCTTGCCCGCTTAGCGCGATCGAGTACCGAACTCTGCCAAGACGATCCCCCTCCGAGCTGAACTTGTTGACTAGATTGGGAAAAGTGTGGTCGCCGCCATTGACTGTGCAGAATTTTAAGTGGGACAGATTTCGTCATAAGAATCGGTAGAGAAACTCCAAATTCTGCAAATTTATAGACGGGTCGTGGCTGGGAATGACCCCCGAAATGTCGGTATAATCCTCGGCGAAATTGAACAGGCCGTACCAATCACTGGGCGCGCTAATATCACCAGTGGGATAATGCGAGTGCGCCGATTGACAAGGTGCGTCGAGCGTGTGTCCTTCTGGGTTCATATTGAGAGCTGGGAAAGCATCTGGGGTAGCAGGGACCAAATCGCGGGCTTCGGTCTTTGGGGGAGGAGCAGTGGCATCCACCGGTCGCAAAGTACGGGCAGTGCTATCATCCAAGCATCGGAAGAACAGGTTTAATACCCAGTTCTCCAAGTCCCAGGATTTTTGCAGCTCCTGTAGGCTCAGGAGACAAAGTCTGGCTCGGTGTTCCGCCAGTTTACGGCCTGTCCCAGATGAGCGACGGAACTCGATGGTGTGAATGCAGAGGGTTGAGAACGCGTGGGTGATTCTACATGGTCAGCTTGATACCTGTACAGATTATCGACGGAGACTTACAGATGTGGAGGTCCATGTTGGACCAGATTATGCGAGAGCATATCCTCCAACACTCGCGTGCTTTTGGTTGCGGCATCCAAGGCTATTTGGCCTTGACTGTCCAAGATACCCTCCGTTGGATTAAGAAATGACGGTCGGTAAAGCAGGACATAGAGATTTCTAGACGTTAACCAGTCAGGGGAGTCAATTCGAGTCAAATGCATATTGCTTACTGGTATGTCATTTGTAAGAGTCCCGCTAGGAACCTGGCTCGCGAAGTTGTGGCGTTTTCGAGCTTCAGCTCAGGAGGCATATCGGATTCCCAATCCACCAGTTGCTTATGCAACGTCGCTCGTGACGTGCCGCTGGATGACGATGATACCGGCGAATAATGGATCGATACAATAGAACGCACTGAAGGGTAAGCAAAGATTCAAAGTCGTGAGATTCGGACATACATAATTTGGCCAACTTGGCCGTCTCGGCTGGATAACGGAGATCTTCTATGCACTGCACACCAAAAAGACCTTGTCCTCCCGCTTCCTCTTCCAGGATATCATCTGGCTCAAGCATGGCGACATCGCAGTCTTCGTCCCGAATGTGCGGCGGCAGCCCAAGTGCTGCGGCGCTTTGCTGGTCTCGGGCCTGGAAACGGTTAGTATTAACACCAAGTTTTTGAGAGAAGACATACGTAGAGCGACCACCAAATTCGCTTCCATAGCCCTGCCTCTCGACCGGAACCAAAAGAAAACTTAGACCTGATTGGATTAGCAGGTGACATGGTGCAATAGTAAAACACATACATCAAATGCATGCCGCGCTTTTGAGCCAAGTCAATGGCAATGCCTAGCCAGAATCGAATGTCCCGCTCTTCAGAA